ATAAATCTTTTATTGAAGATTTTTACATTAAAAGAGTGATAAAAAGGGTAAGAAACTCAAATTTTTTTAAAAAAGAAAAAAAAATATGAGGAAAAAATTGAGAAATTAGAATTTTTTTTAAAAAATAAGAAATATGTTTTTTTACAATAAAAGATAAGAAAGGTTAAATTTTTTTATTTATTTACTAAAAAAGTGTAATATATAAATCCTTAATATCAATGTAGGGAAGATAACCACATTGGTATTGAATAAAGAAAGATGGAAAAAAATGATGTGAATAACCCTTCCAAAAATTATGGTGGATTTGGAAGTATTTCATATGGAAAACCGTCAACATTTCGTGAATTTAATAAATTTAATTCACACCATATTTCTTCTCTAAAAAGATGTAAGCAATCAATATGTACAAAATGTATCTATTGTGAAATTGAATCTTCTGTAGAATCAAAAGTTTTTTCTGAATTTAACAAAATAATACCACTAATAAATGGAGAAATAAAAAAAATTGAAGAAAAACTTACAGAGAAAATTGATGAATTTATAAATCATCTAAGAATGGAAATTGAGTTTAATATAAAAGAAATGTATGAAAAAGTAGAAAAAGATATAAAGTAAGAAAAAAAGACAAAAAAAGATTATTTATTAATTCAAAATAAAATTATTTGTGTAAAAATGTTTGTACTTATAAAAAAAGAAAAATAAAAAAACCCATAAAAGGAAGCATTACAATGATTGGTTACTAGTAATCATTGTGAGGCTTGCTTTCATGGTATTATTTACATGATGCCGAAGAAACTTATATATACATCAAGACGTGAAGATGAATATATTGCGATTTGCAATCGATTGAAACGTATTTTGACTTTACGTCATTATACCCCATATGTTCAAGGAAAGTGATAAATGCGTCAAGACAAAATACAAGAGAAAATACTAAACCACATAATGTGTGTCATACCATCTTCTACAAATTCTTTTACATGCGTTTGTGTACAAATAGAAGATTGGGTTAATTGGTTTTGGGAGGAAAAAGTTGGTGAAAAGGCTGAGTCATATTTACGATTCTTTCTTGCGGATCATGCGATAAAGCGAGATAATTTGTATCATCAGTAAATTGGACTTTGGGAAAATTTAAAATGTGTAACATACAAAGTGGATCGAGTTTTTATCAATGTCTTTGTTTACGAAAAGAAGATTGGTTTAATTGGTTTTGGGATGAATAATTTGGTAAAAAGGTTGATTCCATTTATCGTTTCTTTAATGTGGATAAAGTATTGAAGCGTGACAATTTGTATTATCAATAAATTGGACTTTGGACTTTCCATAATATCATTTTAAAAAATTGGACTTTAGACTTTCATCAATGTAATTATTTTATATTGTATTTGAAATATATATATCTTTTTTTATGAAATCTTCTTGTTTATATATTATATATTACTCTTATCCATTATTCTAAAAAATATATGTATATTATCACAGGCTCACCCTTCTCTATTTTTATGTTTACTACCGCTGACTGCCTCAAAAACGATCCCCCCGGTTTTTTTTATTATAAGATGTATTATGACTATTTTTAGACATAATACATTTTATAATAAAAAAACTTGAGCCTGCGATGATATATATAAATATTAGTTACTTCTGGAAACACTTGAATCTGGTAACATTACGTGATCGTTAATTTTACTGGTTTTATCTGTTTTTTGCTGAGGACATTAAATTCTTCTTGCGTTCATAGAGTTGACATGTAAAGAAGAAGAACGACAGAGGTTATTGAGACAAGGATGAGTACATGTATACGACGTTGGTTATTCCAGATCTTTCACGGTCTGTTGTTAATTTAACCTGCGTGGTAGAGGCATATTTCTTGTATGGGTCTCTTTAATTTCGAAGAAAAGCTTTATCCCGCATACGTCACATCCGTTCGAGCTGTTTTATTCAGCTATTCTGCATTATTCGAGCTCGCAAGAACGGCTTCCAACTTTGTTCTGATATCATGTTTTATAAAATTTTTATCGTTTTGGCAGGAAGAACTTTACAACAAAAACTGCAGGCAAAATATGCAAAAGATACACTACGAAGATGTAAATGACTCATTTTGCTATGGCATTTCTTTTGAGATATTTACCAATTAAAATTACAAAATGAATAAATTTTGAATTAAGCGGCATAATTTATGCGATAGCTCAAACAAATGTAACGTATGCAGGGGCAAGATTTCCTTCAATATTGCTCATGGACCCGCACGAGGTGTATGGATGTAGATTGATCTATTACAGAGTTGGGCAACATACGGTACGCGGGCCGGGTCCGACTCCTGAAGGGATTTTGAGTGGCCCGCCGATTGTATCCGTCTATATCTGTGATTAAGATATTAAATATTATTCATGTAATAATCCGGCCCACCAATAACTTCATTTTCCTAAACCTGGCCTGCCGACTGGAGAAGTTGCCCACCCCTGATCTATGATGTAGTCTGTTGCTTACCATGCTTCAGTCGAACAAATAGAATACTTCACAAAAATTTAGCCAATGATTGGGAAAACATTCAGCATGGTAAAAATCCCCAGAAAATATGAAAGTTAACCTGATGAGAGTGAGTTTTCATTTTCGACAATTTCCAAACGTAAAATTGTTGATTCGTTCTACGTACTTCTGTCAAAAAAAAATGTCGTTTTTTTTAGAAACGGATAAGACGTCTAGGTATGTTTACGCCACAGTATAAGAAATATACAGTAGGTCCACTTCTTGTGCAACTGCTGCTGTATATTTATTTAGATTACTGCCGGCCGTTAGCCATTTCGTCATTTTTATCGGACAAAAAAGTAATTGACTGGCTGCCGTAATAGTATGCATGGCACGAAAATATTCAATTGAGAGGCTGTGCTGTATTCTGTGCTTACTCCCTGAGAGCAGTGTGGGCAATATACTTGCAAATTTCTTACTAGATTTGGTCTGATGAGCTTTTAAACTCTTCCACCTGTTTTACGTAGTTGCAGAATTCAGAACAGGGGGTAGTGTTTAAGCTCGTACGGCCGATCTGGTAAAAAATTGTATCGCTGGTCAAACTGCCCGTGTTTGTTCTAAATATATCATTTAAAAGCGAGAAAATATGACTTTAACTATAGTGGTGGCCTAAAAGACGTCCTTTACCTTGACGTTTACGTCTTAACCGTTTTTAAGTGTAAAAACGGCCAGAAGAATAAACTGTTTAAAATTAACGTCTTGTTTATGGAACAGTTTTATAATGATTTTATCATCCTCATGTCTTAACACGTCTACAGTGAGAAAGAATCGAAGTCTCTGACGATATCTGAACGTAGACTGAAAATTAGCGAACAAGAAAGGATTGCTTGTGAAATGGAAACTATTGAGGTGGGAATTTTCATTTCTACTGTGTTCGTTTTACGATTGCTAAAAATGAGTGATGGCGTTTTTAGAAAAGGCGCCTGGAACGCGTTCAAGAAATCGAAAACCTTTTTCCAGCGCAAACAGGGTAAGGTTATTGATTATTCGGACCTCAAAATTTCTACAGCCATTTGTTGAAAGAGAAAGAGCAGAGAAGCTTGACAAGTTGATGGTGGAACAGCAAATTTGTCAAGCTAAGGAGGAAGAAGCATTACTAATTGCAATGAATAAGAAACAACGAGAAGACATGTTGAAAGCATTATCGCAGGTATTGTCCATCACAAGGGTTTATCCAATGTTATTTCAAGAGAACCCTTTGAGAACTCTGGTATATTCAGTGCTTTATGTTTTGGTAGTGTTTTCGAAGAATTTGAAACGCATCAATAAATATTTGTTGCTGATTTTGAGATATTGAAGAAACGATATTTCTCTGTAGGATGACAGCAAAGCAAAAGAGAAGCTTCTTATTGAGCAAATAAACAAAGAAAGGAAGATGAATCATGCTTTGACCAGTATAGCCAAAGGTGATCTGTGCATGCACGTTGTGTATTTTTCATTTGATGTTTATATTGCAGTTTTCTTTTGTTTGCAGAGGAGCAACTGGCAAATGAAAGAGTGTCGGCCATCTTGCAAATGAATGATAGGTTAGTTTTGACAATTGTGCTAGTCATGTTTTATGCGTAGCATGTATAGTGAAGACATGAATTTGGCATGACTCGAATCTCAGATCACTCCTGATAATGGCACTAGACTGGAGTATATAAGAACTGAAGTTTCAACATCAGATCACTCCTGATGAAAACAATAGACTGAAGTATATAAGAACTCATGTTTCAACATCATAGCACTCCTGATGAAGACACTAGACTGGAGTATATATGAACTCATGTTTTAACATCAGATCACTCCTGATGAAGACACTAGACTGGAGTATATAAGAACTCAAGTTTCAACATTAGATCACAGAAGTGATCTAATGAGTATACATTTAAACAAAGCAGTATACATTTGGGCACATTTTGTCATTATGTACAATCAATGCTCTAGGTACTAAAACATAAATTCCCTCTTTGTTTTACAAATCAATCTTTCAAATGATCAACAATAAATTTCAAATGATCAACGATAAATTTGAAATGTTCAACGATAAATTTCAAATGTTCAACGATAAATTTCAAATGATCAACGATAATTTCAAATGATTAACGATAAATTTGAAATGTTCAACGATAAATTTCAAATGTTCAACGATAAATTTCAAATGATCAACGATAATTTCAAATGATCAACGATAAATTTGAAATGATCAACGATAAATTTCAAATGTTCAACGATAAATTTCAAATGATCAACGATAATTTCAAATGATTAACGATAAATTTGAAATGATCAACGATAAATTTCAAATGATCAACGATAAATTTGAAATGTTCAACGATAAATTTCAAATGTTCAACGATAAATTTCAAATGATCAAAGATAAATTTGAAATGATCAACGATAAATTTCAAATGATCAACGATAAATTTTAAATGATCAACCATAAATTTTAAATTATCAACGATAAATTTCAAATGATCAGAGATAAATTTTAAATGATCAACGATAAATTTGAAATGTTCAACGATAAATTTCAAATGTTCAACGATATGATCATATAATCACCAACAGCCAGTAATATATAACCAAAGACCACAGCGAGTACATAACAAGGAAAGACGACACATTCAGTTAAATGCCAGTATGTGTCCACAGGAGGCATTCGAAATGACAACACACATAGGTTGAGCATAGCATCGAAATATCTATACAAATGAGAAAAAAACCCAGTCATATAAGAAGATGGTTGCATTATTATCAAAATTAAAACCAAAAAGCTTTTTCAATGAATCAAGAACAAACGATGTTTTTTCTATTGAAAGCAGTTAATCTGATCTCACACAACATGCATGGTTTTCTTCTCATGAATGTTTCACTTTTACGATTTTCTTTTCTATTAAAATCCTTTCACATTGTCATGGGTGTACATATGATATTAACGAAATCATGTGACGCTGAAAAACACCATGTTTTTGTAGGTTACATCAAAGTTATGACATTTCAAATAACAATTTCACTTCCACTTTTGAAAAAGGAAATTATTGCGCCATCCGATATGTTAACAAAAAGTCGATGAAAACAGGTATTAAAAAATTAAAAAATGCAACGACTTTCGAGAATATCTTTCCCAAATCGAGGATTTTTAATTAAAGGATATTCTAGAGCATTAAAGTTTCCTATAAACCCTAAAGATATTAAAGACATTAAAGATATTAAAGTTAATTTCCTCAAGATGACCCAAAAATAAAACTTGTTGTTCTGACACTTACATACAAAATCCAGGCTGGCTTTATCAGTGGTGCAGTGAGACATGAGTGGTTAACAAGATTGGGAGAGTATGTACATACAAAGGGGGTATCTTATTCAAAGTGCTACAAGTTTGAATGATGCATACCTAAGGTAAAAGTTGTGTTCAGGAGCTTCTTTCCATCTTGGTACTGTGAAATAGAAGTTTTAATTGTTTTTGCAAAAAGTAAACACAAATAAATAAAAATAGAACTACTAAGCAGGCTATAGGTAAGTACGCCAGGGTTAGGAGTGATCTAAAGCTTAATACCGAGTTCTTATACAATTCAAGCTTATGTTATGAAAAAATCAGGACTAAATCAAAATACGCCTTACTTCTCGAGTAACATAAACGTTTTACATTGAAATTCCACTATCAGAGTCAATAGACGAATCCATTTTAACTCACCATGCCATCTGCTACAATCTGTGTAAGTCCGGGGTGTGAAGGTCCGGGGCTATAGCTAGCTGATGGGTGTCCAGTCATGTAAGATTTAAGCTTTTGATATTTGCTGATGGCCTGCAGGAAACTATCATTTAAATCAGTCAAATCATCGTGTTTTTTTTGGATCACTTGAATTTTATCAGCAATAAGTGGGGCCATCTTTCTACATGTTTCTACAAATAATAACGCAAATAGTGAGTAACTTTAAGAAAGTATAACAGATTAAAAATGCATCGAAAAAGAATTGATGACACACGCGAAGTCTCATTCCATAAATTTCTTAGCTGTTCAAAATCAAACTTTTTAAAATCCAACAACTGTATGAAACAATAGAGTCTGAAAGTGTTTATTTCTGGAGTAGAAAATTGAGTGTAATGAATGTAAATAAACGGCTATTATGACTTCAAAACCAACCTTCCAATTCTATTAATGTTTCTTCGTCATCGTCCTCTTCTTCAACATTAGCGTTCTTCAACATCACTAAGCATTGTTCTAATTTTTCCTAAGGAAAAAAAATAAACTCGTTTTAACAAACAGTTCAACCGATTAAAACCATTAATCCTGTTGTAAAAATTTAAATTGCATGGAGTATACAAAGTTTGCGAATTTCACGAGACACTTCGTACCAAACACAAGAAAAATTGCTAATTAAGACTCAAACAAGGTTTACATGCAAATTTCAAAAAATGTAAATGTTGATTGACCATTTTACTTACTTCATTAATTGCAACTGGTTGGGTAATCGATGCAGATGCTATATAAATATCGACAATCGTAAAAAGACTCATCAAAATGTTTTGAAAAAAATATATATTAATAAGTTATTGATCGGAGTTTTGTTAAATATACAGACAGATAACCTACCTTCAAATCTTTTGATTGAATCTTGTTCAGAAAAGCTAACTTTTCGCTTATTTTTCAATACAAACACCATGAGCTTTGTTATAAAAGAAGAATAACGCTTCAAAAAGTATGTACCTTGCTTTGGATCCGGTGTCATGTTAGTTGTGACGAAATTCGTTGGGAACAATCCAGATCTTCCATTGACTTCGCCTTTCCACCAGTTGGCATCACTACAAAATAAAACAGTAAAATAATCTTATGGCATTCATTCATTAAGTTTGAACAGCTTTTTGAAAGGTGAGTTCTCACAAATAACATGTATGGTACATCTTTTTTAAACAAAAACTTGAGATATGGTCTTTACAGTCTGAAACTGCAGAATCTATGATGATCTCTACAGACTGAAGCTAAACTATCTATGATGTCTTTACAGTCTGAAGCTGCACAATCTATGATGATCTTTACTGTCTGAAGCTAAACTATTTATGATGGTCTTTACAGTCTGAAGCTGCACAATCTATGATGATCTATAGTTTGAAGCTAAACTATCTATAATGATCTTTACTCTCTGAAGCTGCACAATCTATGATGATCTATAGTCTGAAGCTAAACTACCTATGATGATCTTTACTGTCTGAAGCTAAACTATTTATGATGGTCTTTACAGTCTGAAGGTGCACAATCTATGATGATCTCTATAGTCTGAAGCTAAACTATCTATGATGATCTTTACTGTCTGAAGCTAAACTATTTATGATGGTCTTTACAGTCTAAAACAGAACAATCCATTATGATCTTTATCGTCTGAAGTTAAACAATCCATGATGATCTTTATCGTGTGAAGCTAAACAATCCATGATGATCTTCACAGTCTGATGCTGCAATGTATGATTATCTTGCAAGTTTACATTAAACATTTACCTGTTATCTGTGACTATAATAACATCGCCACTTTTGAAGCTTACTTCGTTATCCTCTCCTGCATTAAATTCATATAATGCTCGCACTTTTTGCACAGGCTGAAATAAATGACATGAGCAACATTATTTTCCGTAAACATTCTCTATAGTAAAGTTGAACAAACCATTGAATTAGTCGATTGAGAAGTAGCTTGAACTGATGGATATAAACTTGGAGTTTTTGACTGAAATAAAAATGTGAAGTTTACAATCCAGTCATACTGGAATTATAGACATTATTATACTGGAGTTATAGACATTATCATACTGCAGTTATAGACATTATTATACTGGAGTTATAGACATTATAATACTGGAGTTATAGACATTGTTAGACAAGAGTTATAGACATTATTAAACTGGAGTTATAGACATTGTTATACTGAAGTTATAGACCTTATCATACTGGAGTTATAGACATTGTTATACTGGAGTTATACATATTATCAGACTGGAGTTATAGATATTGTTATACTGAAGTTATAGACATTATCAGACTAGAGTTATAGACATTGTTATACTGGAGTTATAGACATTATCAGACTGGAGTTATAGACATTGTTATACTGAAGTTATAGTTATTATCATACTGGAGTTATAGACATTATCATACTGGAAATATAGACACTGTTATACTGAAGTTATAAACATTGTTATACTGGAGTTATAGACATTATCATACTGGAGTTATATACATTATCATACTGGAGTTATAGACATTGTTATACTGGATTTATAGACATTATCATACTGGAGTTATAGACATTGTTAGACAAGAGTTATAGACATTATCATACTGAAGTTATAGACCTTATCATACTGGAGTTATAGACATTGTTATACTGGAGTTATACATATTATCAGACTGGAGTTATAGATATTGTTATACTGAAGTTATAGACATTATCAGACTAGAGTTATAGACATTGTTATACTGGAGTTATAGACATTATCAGACTGGAGTTATAGACATTGTTATACTGAAGTTATAGTTATTATCATACTGGAGTTATAGACATTATCATACTGGAAATATAGACACTGTTATACTGAAGTTATAAACATTGTTATACTGGAGTTATAGACATTATCATACTGGAGTTATATACATTATCATACTGGAGTTATAGACATTGTTATACTGGATTTATAGACATTATCATACTGGAGTTATAGACATTGTTAGACAAGAGTTATAGACATTATCATACTGGAGTTATATACATTATCATACTGGAGTTATAGACATTGTTATACTGGAGTTATACATATTATCAGACTGGAGTTATAGACATTGTTATACTAAAGTTATAGACATTATCAGACTAGAGTTATAGACATTGTTATACTGGAGTTATAGACATTATCATACTGGAGTTATAGACATTGTTAGACAAGAGTTATAGACATTATCATACTGGAGTTATATACATTATCATACTGGAGTTATAGACATTGTTATACTGGAGTTATAGACATTGTTATACTGGAGTTATACATATTATCAGACTGGAGTTATAGACATTGTTATACTAGTTATAGACATTATCAGACTGGAGTTATAGACATTGTTATACTGGAGTTATAGACATTATCAGACTGGAGTTATAGACATTGTTATACTTATAGTTTATCTGATACTGGAATATAGACACTGTTATACTGGAAGTTATAGTTATTATTATCATACTGGAGTATATACATTATCATACTGGAGTTATAAACATTGTTATACTGGAGTTATAGACATTATCATACTGGAGTTATATACATTATCATACTGGAGTTATAGACATTGTTATACTGGATTTATAGACATTATCATACTGGAGTTATAGACATTGTTATACTGGAGTTATAGACATTATCATACTGGAGTTATATACATTATCATACTGGAGTTATAGACATTATTATACTGGAGTTATAGACATTGTTATACTGGAGTTATAGACATTTTATACAGGAGTTATAGACATTGTTATACTGGAGTTATAGACATTGTTATACTGGAGTTATAGACATTGTTATACTAAAGTTATAGACATTATCAGACTAGAGTTATAGACATTGTTATACTGGAGTTATAGACATTATCATACTGGAGTTATAGACATTGTTAGACAAGAGTTATAGACATTATCATACTGGAGTTATATACATTATCATACTGGAGTTATAGACATTGTTATACTGGAGTTATAGACATTGTTATACTGGAGTTATACATATTATCAGACTGGAGTTATAGACATTGTTATACTAAAGTTATAGACATTATCAGACTAGAGTTATAGACATTGTTATACTGGAGTTATAGACATTATCAGACTGGAGTTATAGACATTGTTATACTGAAGTTATAGTTATTATCATACTGGAGTTATAGACATTATCATACTGGAAATATAGACACTGTTATACTGAAGTTATAAACATTGTTATACTGGAGTTATAGACATTATCATACTGGAGTTATATACATTATCATACTGGAGTTATAAACATTGTTATACTGGAGTTATAGACATTATCATACTGGAGTTATATACATTATCATACTGGAGTTATAGACATTGTTATACTGGATTTATAGACATTATCATACTGGAGTTATAGACATTGTTATACTGGAGTTATAGACATTATCATACTGGAGTTATATACATTATCATACTGGAGTTATAGACATTATTATACTGGAGTTATAGACATTGTTATACTGGAGTTATAGACATTTTATACAGGAGTTATAGACATTGTTATACTGGAGTTATAGACATTGTTATACTGGAGTTATAGACATTGTTATACTGAAGTTATAGACATTATAATACTGGAGTTAGACATTGTTATCCTTTAGTTATAGACATTGTTATACTGGAATTATAGACATCGTCAAATACAATACAATAATTCATACATAAAATATTCATTACTACAACAACTTTGGGTAGTAAAATGTAAATACAACGCAATTCACACTTCATAAAAAGCACATATTTTATATTATAAGTGTCAATTGCTTTCTATAATAGTATTTTGCAGTCAAAAAATTCAAAGTAGAACAAAATTTACCTGACTTGAGTTGGCTTCATTCAAAGACATTTGAATGGCTGAAACAATAAACATGAAAAACAAATGATACTTAGAATTAACTTAAATAAAAAAAACTAAAAAATTTTGTGGAAGCTAAGGATGTTAAAAACATAAATAAAAATAATTTTTAAACCCACCATCATTTAAACAATTCATGGATAAAAAATGAAAGTTTAAATGTTTCCACTAGCTCTAACCCAAACCTTAATCCCAAAACTAATCCCACCTCGAAACCTAAAGATAACTCACTACACCAAGTTAAAGATAACGTAGAAATAAAGACACAAACATAAAGCTAAGTCATGCTCTTCTGCTGATGTGGCAGTTTCCTTTGCTGGCAGGGACGATAAAGTAATGTTGGCAGCTAGAGTTTGAGGAAATTCCTCTTTCTCTCTTTTCAAAGACATTTGAATGGCTGAAACAATAAACATGAAAAACAAATGATACTTAGAATCAACTTAAATAAAAAAAACTAAAAAATTTTGTGGAAGCTAAGGATGTTAAAAACATAAATAAAAATAACTTTTAAACCCACCATCATTCAAACAATTCATGGATAAAAAATGAAAGTTTAAATGTTGCCACTAGCTCTAACCCAAACCTTAATCCCAAAACTAATCCCAACTCTAAACCTAAAGATAACTCACTACACCAAGTTAAAGATGATGTAGAAATAAAGACACGTACCTAAAGCTAAGTCATGCTCTTCTGCTGATGTGTCAGTTTCCTTTGCTGGCAGGGACGATAAAGTAATGTTGGCAGCTAGAGTTTGAGGAAATTCCTCTTTCTCTCTTTTCAATTCTTCATATAATATTGAAATCAAACTATGAAAATAATTGATCTATGCAGAAGTATAAAACAATTTTGATGCAAACAATTTTAATTATCTTTTGACAAAACAAAATACCTTAACTGTGGGTCATTCTTGAACATTTTTACCCATTCCTTAATCATGCCCTTCAATTTCAATGCGGCCAATCGGTGGATCTAAAAAAACCATCAATGTTTACTATTATGGATAAGTAATGATAAATATGATTTGGCAAAGAACATAAATAGAAATACAAGTGGTCTAGTTGCATAAAAAATACATTTGCAGCTCCAATTACAACAAAAACATGACAATTGTTTGCAAGCAAACAAAAACATTTCAAACAATCAAGGTTTGATTATTTTGAGTAAGATGTGCTGATTATAAGTTCATTGTTGATTACAATACAGTTTCTTTACTATACAAATGATAGTATTCTATGTTTGTAAATGTAGATCGTCGAGGTTGGTTCGCACACTGCTTCAGAGTCAATAAGATGACTACCACTAAGGTTGTTGAAACGTCAGTCAGCAACAACAAAAACAGTCCTTCTCAGGACTATACCAACCTGGTCAATCTACATCTACAAACATGTAATGATGCTCTCGGGTTCAAGCCATTTACTTGATAGTATTCTACTTGTTAAATCAACATAGTTGAATATGCAGAGAAAATAAATTCAAAATAAACATAAATTCTACCTTTCTCAGGAGATTTCTTACTTCACCAACAAAGTCTCTTGAACATACTTCAGTATAAAAATGTTTTCCACAGTTGTTGACACAAGCATCAAGAAGCTATGAAATGAAAATTAAAGGTTTGAAAATGGCTACAATTCATTGAATGAATGCCAGGATGATAAACCACTAGCTCTCATTTTCACCTTTACTTGTATTATATAAATTATACCATGAATATATCAACATAATGCAATAAGTAAAACCCTGAAATAATAATTTTTTCCCAATACTAAATACAGTTTTTAAAATATTTTTATACTCTAAAAGCAATTGAAATGGTAGTGAAAATCATAACAATGACCATAAGAAGGAAATTCAAAATAATAGCTTCAATTTCAAATGGTTATAGAACCAACAGCTAACCGTAAGTGCTTGTAAAGACACTTTTGGATTATGATTGTCAACTCTTTTCAAAATGGAATTCAAACCATCTTTAGGTCTAAAGAATACAAACATAAGACAGGGCCATCAAACTTCGCCATGTGACACAGGAAATGTAATTTCGTCATTTTGACATAAGACAGTTTTTACTTCACATAAATTCACAAAACAAGATTTTCACACACACATAGAAAAAACACACACATTATTTTTTTTCCCCGGTAGAAGTTTTAAAGCAAGATTTTAGACATAAAATTGAAAATGTATTTGAGAGTAAACTTTTGAGTATTATATTATAAAGAGTTTCTATTTTTACCCAGAGGAAGAACGTGAGACTCTGTCGCATACATTCATTATTTCTCCCCAATTCTCAGTAAGATTCCTTTCCGAAGTTGCTTTTTCTACGAACAAGACAATTTCGTAACACAGACGATAAAAAAGGTTAGGAATATGAATCAGGTTACAAATATATGAACAAATCATTGTATCTGGTATTACACAACTCACCGACAATTTCGTCTAATGGCGAACTCTTTGAATAGAAAGGCATAGTATATAAACGAGAAAGTTCTTCTTTCTCTTTCTCTACGCTCTATTTTTTCTTCAACAAGCCGCAAAATGTAAATGTTCTAGTATTATTTAAAAGTAAAGCACAATTACATAATAAATACGCTCTCTTTTTAGCTCCGTTGAATCTCCATTGAGCTCTAAAGACCTGGAGGGGCAAAGGGGCCTGGACCCATAGATATAGCGGTCTAGGTCTAGATCGCTGACGAGTGTGACGTAATATAAGACTTATTAAGACCAGAGCCCTCTATAGTATAAGAGTTGGGACAAACGGTCTGGGGCGAGCGCGGAGCCGCCATTTTGGTTCCTACTTGCAAAGTGAAACTATAATAATACTATTGGAAATTGGGTTCATATGCAAAAGAAGAAAGCAATTTAAGCTTATTCCATGGTAGTATCAAATATATTAGGAATAATAGCAAGCTCTTTGCGTTTTTTGAACGATTTGCGGCAGACCTGATTTAATTTCATTGGTTTGAGCTTCGTTTGCGGTTTACTAGTTCGTGCTTCAAATTGATCGTGACCCATTGTAAGAAGTATTTTTCGTACGTGAACGTGTTTTCTCGGCTTATGTTCCGACTCTGTAACAAGTTTTCAAGATCTTTAAGCTTGGTGGCAAGCGGCAATGTTATCCTGGCATCAGTGTTATCAAATACTTGGACAAGACTTTGTTCGAAACTTTGAATCATAGTAATCATGCAGATTTGGTCCGAGAGATTTGTGTTCAAGATTTGTAACAATTTAATGGTAGTGAGTGATTTATGCCCCCAATTTAATCCAAGCATGATATTTTTATTCTGAAAGATCACAAAATTTTCTTGCTCAGCAGAAAATGACAGACTTTTTTACTTTTTAGTTATTGAAATATGATTTGACCAAGATGCATTTGACCTTAAACGTTTTATTCCTGTATATGAAGTTATTTCGCCTTTATCACTTTATAAAGTATTAAAGTTTATTTCTAATAAAGTTTGTTTGGGATTCTGCTGAAAATTTTGGTGAAGCATTTCTTTAAAATGAATATATTATTTCTATAATATGAAACATTTCTGTTGTTGAAGAACAGTCTGTTTGCTATAAATGCTACTGTTTGTAGTCTTTTATACAGCATATGAGTCTGATCCAATCTTTAATTTAGCAAAGAGTTAAATTTATTGGTTGAGGAATGACAAAACTTCTATATGTGTTTAATGATCAAACAGGGTGTGTTGGAGGAGCTCAGCCCCGTTTGTTCAAATTCTATGCCTTGTATTGCCAGTGAAATATATATATCAAAAGCTAGCAGCACCTAAATATATATCAGAAAGCCGCAATATTTTAATATATATGAGAAAGGCAGCAACAGTTGTATATATACATTAAAAGCCCAAATAGCTGAAATTATGGAGATATGCCTCTGTGATCTTATAAACCAAAACCTACAATTAAAATATCATCAACAAGTCTAGAAGAGAAGTAATGTTCTACTTTGAGCTACAGAAGTAGGGTACATTTGTACAATTCAATACCAAAATATATTGTACTCAGCTGTTTCATTGAATATCCTAATTATAATTACTTCATTTTAAATGATGAACTAAAAATACAAAATACAACATGGAAAATCATAAGAGTTTCTGTGATTTGGTGTAGTTGTTTTAGTATGGAAGTGGCTGAGAATTGAGAGGTTTGTAGATTGAGCAATTTCAGAACATAATGAGAAATCATCTTCGATTAAAAAACAAGCTTTGGAGTAAGAAAACTATTGAAACTGCATCAGCACGAACTTTGCAATGTTATTTGGCCCAAAATGTTTCTCTACTTGAGTCAGTTAATTGAACCTTATATCAAAAGCAGTTCAGCACAACAATCACCATACGCAATCAAATTTCGTAAGTTCGACGTAAAGGCATTTCTTTCATTTTTGGTAATCCTCGATTTATGCGATTATGTAATGACATTTAGTAGCCTTCAACAATCAGTTATTACACACTTATCCATAAAAAAACGCAATATTATCTCAAAATACTGTATTACTAGCAGCAATTGCTATATAAACACAAGCAAAAATTTCAAAACTAGGAACCAAAATGGCGGAAATTGATCAGGTGATCAATATTGCCCAATCAATATACTATAGAGGGCTCTGATTAAGACGGCAGCGTGACATTCATGATAAATCCAAGATGGCGCGGGAACCGGGCGTGGTATGTTTCGCTGCCGGAAAATGGCATATACAACCACAAATACAACCATCCGACCGGTGCAGCTTCAAAAAGAAATTTCAGGGCTTCCATTTACTACATTTTTCAAAGTTCATGTATGAGAACAATATTTCTTCGTGTATTCATATTTTTTAGGAGTTTGCAACATCAAAGCTCGAAGCAAGGCAATCGATCAACAGGGCTCAGTCACTCAGTACTATGCTTAGTACTTTTTTAAATATCTATCGGAGAAGTCTGGCTGGGAGAATGGTACTTAGAATAATTCTAGGCTAACTTTGTCAATCCAAGAACACGTGCAGTACTGGTTTTTATAAATCGGGGTATTATTTTTTGGGTACACTTGCAAAATGTATCAATTCAGGAAGAAATTCAGACGCTCAAATGACTTCTTTTACAATAACGTGGAGAGGAAAGGAAACACACAAAAAGATGATGCGGTAGGAATTTTTAAAGTGTTCTTTTTATTGTTTCTGGTTGCACAAGTTCATATTAATTTATATTTATTACGACAGTTATATTAACAAAAGTATGTGTACAAATTTATTTATGCCCACAATGTTGTGTAAGGAAAAACGATTATTCTGAGCACATTTTCCAATTTCAAGTCTGGATTCTCTACATCCTTTAATCACAATGTCATATATGTTAATAGAATAGCAGTGTGTCATATGAATCTCAATTTTTTGAACAAGAAAATGAATTTGGGGATTTAGTAAGTTTACATATATTGTAAAACTATGTAGATATAAAAATACGCTATATTTATGGTTTTTTTTCATTTATATGTAGAATGAACAAAGTGAAGATATTGCTGAAAATTATGACAAGCACCAAGAGTTAACCACCAAAACACAGGTTTTTAATGTACATATTGATATTGTTTCTCATGAAAAGTCATTGGAAATGGTTATATGTAGGACTGCTTTCACTAGAAAAACTAAAAATTTTGAAGTAATTTAAAGAAGGCATGCATTATTTCAACACTTATTAAAAGTCTGTACACATTTTAAATTAAATAATGGTCTTTATTTGTAGGATTCTGAAGATATTTTTACCAAGCAATCTATCTCTATGATTACAGAGGAATCTAAACAACCATGTCAACATAGTCAAGTAGTTCTCACTTATACAGTTATACTTTATACTGTTTACCACTAGTCATGTTTTTAATGTGTTATAAATTGACAATATGCTTGTTGATTGCTTATGCATGAGACACTGTGTAGCAAAACTTTATTAACATCTCGTAGAAATGTGCTCAACAAACATAAAAATATATTACAATAGATATTTTTGAAACAGTGAACATTAATAATTATTGTATACTTGCTCTTTCAGAGTCATTTGTCACCCACTGGCCACTATACTGGGCTATTGTTACAGTTTGACTTTGCATCAAATGTATCACGTCAGCAATCCTTTGTTGTTCATGATTATAATGCAAACAAAAGAACAATTATGGTGATGTCAAATTTTATTTCCATAATTTCAATGTTGGGTATATACCCAACTAAATGATATTACTCAATACTCTTTTTTTTTGGTGCTATAACCTGCATGTATTTTTTTCTTCAGCATAATTCATTTGTATTTGTTCATCGATATCCCCACCTATTGCTTGATGGCTACGGTTGGATATTGTGCTGCTCATGTGATGCAAATAGAAAGCAATTTGTTGAAGCCCTACCTAATAATATACAATTAGATCCTCAAAAAAAGGTATGTAAAATAGATGTTACTGAAATGAAATTATTAAAACAGGCCAAACAACATTTTTATACTTGTCAGATATACCATATCCCAGTTGCATACACATATTAGCAATGGAAAAATATCTGGTTGTGTATGATAGAAAGTTTGGTATTGAAGCCAAAGATTTTATTGAAAAAAGTAAGTGTTGTGTGTTACTCTTTCAGGATATAAGGTGTCTGAACAGCTTCACCAAATTTAGACTTACACTTACATACTATTTGTTTGAAGACCCTTGTCAAAGATGTGAGAACTTGTTACATATTAATCTGACATTGCATGAAGTGAATGTCTCAAATTTGTATTTGGCTTATTTTTTCAATGTAAAGTTCTTCATGTTGTATGGGAGGAAATGTCTTCATCCTTAAATATCAGTTTATTGTACATTTCAAACCCTTGTGAAGTCATCCTTCTGTGTTTTTTACAAGACCCTTGTGAGACATTGTTCTTATTACATGTGGACGTTAACTAGCATAGCTTTACAAGCAAAAATATTGTTAAAATTTGTGAATGATTATTTACACAACATATTTATCTCATCCAATTTCTTTTATGAATGCAGAATCCACATCCATGATGCAGTCTGTTTTCAGTGATCATTCCTACCATGAGATGCAACCTGAAGAAGTATATTTTGTTATGTGAAAATAACTTTTTTGTACAAATACACGTATAGTTTCTCAACCTTCTAATACCCACAATTTGTTACCATACATCCTGTGCCTAAGTTCAGGAGCTTCTATAAAGCTATTAGGGTGATAGCCAACAGGGCAAATTGAATTTATGACTATTGAGGTATACACATTCATACTCAAATACATACATAGCCACATACTTACAGTACATACATTAAGTAGTATAAACTAAATGTATGGTAAAATAGTAAAGTCATATTCACCATTAGCTTTACGTGCCTGATATATATATTAAGCACTTTCTAAGGATTTTGTGAAGTCATAATTAATCATAATTATTAATCTACAACCTTAAGATAAATGATTTTACATATTTTAGGACTTGTTTAGTGCAGTGTGCAGGGAGGTTCAGTGGATTGCTGTAAAACCAGTGAATAGTCCATGGGGTTTGTACTTTGTGTATTCAAAAGTAACGCCCCAGCCCGAGTTAAAATGTTGCAGCTGTTCGTCATATCATTGCATTCATGTGACAACCCTTGCAAAAGCCATGCAAATCGTTGAAGAGGATGAAATGGATTCTCCATTGGCACTTTTTAAGTGTTCCTTTGGAATTACACCAGAGATGCGAGACTATTTTGAATTGGCTACACTTAGCAAAGAAAAGGTTTCTTTATTTGAAACAGGTATGCAAGATAATCTGCAATGGTGAACATCCTTTTTGCTTTACATATACTATTTCCTTTATCGGTATGGTATTTAGCACTTTCTAGCATTTTGTAAATATTACAATTTAATTATTTTAGGCAATGAGAATGATGCAAGCGATTTTACTGATCTTCCTGAAAAAAATGGTCATAAAATTTTGGCGCCATCTGAAAGTGGTATTTGTTTTTGTGGTGCAGAGTGGGATAAACGTTCTATTCAAGATGAATGGTTGTACGTAGACGTGTGTTCAGTTGCGTACTTTTATTCAATCCATGATGTGAAGGGTAAGTTCTGATTTGTTATAGGTTACGCTTTGCTTCATAATTATTTGACTTAAATAAATTATTTAGTGTATTGTAGACCTTGCTCCTCTTGTGCTACGAAAAAGCATTATGATGGCATTGAAAACAGGATTGTATGGTTTGGATCATATGCAATATCTCATGCCGTTCTAAAGATTACATTCGGCTTTTCATAACGTCGAGGTACTTTTAATGAAAATTTGCCGAAGCATTAGTAGCTACGTTTGTCCATTATTTAATTTTCTCGCCCTATCTCTTTTGAATGTTTTTCTTTTTATTCTTGTTCAGTTTACCTATGTACAAATATTATGTTGCGTATGTACAAAGGCAAGTGTCTTCGGGTAATTTTAATTTCCCAAAGGAAATAACTTACGCCAAGTTTCGTCTCGCTATCATTGCCATGATACGGTAAGCATCATTTCATTTTCAGCTGTAAAATATGAATATTCCATTGAGATAGTGATCGCTTGTTTTATTAAGTTATTGAATTTTCTCTTATTAAGGTTGCTTAATATTGATTTTGACAATGGGTTTTTTTGTGAATTATGTGGAAGAATTCCCAAAAGGTGGTGATGGATGGAACAACTCTTGGAATACAGAAAACTTTCTTACCAAATAATTTAAGAGAGTCTGATACTGGATTGCTAGATGGAAGATAAGTATTTTTGAAGTTTATCTGTAATGTATAGTATATACAGGTCTTCTAATTAGTAAATACGAGTGTTCATCTACGTATCAGAAAGCATTTTATGCATGATGGTGACTTCTCTCAATTTGTTTTTGTACACAGCTTATAGTTATAAAAATAACAACCTGTTTTCTTTTGTCCAATACTAGGTTTGAAATGCGCAATTTCATCAACAGGAGAAATGTGCGAGCTTTATTGAAGAAGTACAGTGATTCAAAGCTAAGTTGGGACGAATTTCAAGAATTAAAATCTGAAGTAAGAAGAATTTATTACCCCACGAGTACAAAATTTTGTATGACCACTCCAGAGCTCATTTTATACTATAATTTCTCGTATTTATAGATATCTTCAAAGGGGCTTAGGACTCTACTTGAATGGTTAGAGAAACAAGGATTTATCACTAGTTGTCCAAACTCGTGCAGAAGGTTATTGGCAGCATTGGCTTCTGACAAACCAGTATGCGCAATTGTGCCCCCCAAAGAAGAAGTTTTGGACCTCTTGATAAGGATGTCTGATGGAGCCAATCCAAAAGACAATCCTTCGACTGATTTAAAACTTCTTCATGAAGAAGTGCCCTTACTGTTTAACGTCATTGAGACTAGCGAAGAAATTCCAATTACTATTCAACCGCTGCTAAAGGAATTGGTACAAAAGGCGATAAGTCCGTTCGAGGTCAAGGACGGTCAGTGGCGTTTGCCACACAACTTACCTGCGGTGTCTCAAAATTCGTCCCATGGATATCTACCTTCTCTGCCAGAACTGGTTCAACGAGGGAATTATGTTCTTGACAATAGGAAGACACAGCAGGAGATTGTGCCAAAGTCACTAGACCCAAGAAGAAGCATGGCACTTTGATCCCTGGAATATTTTGTATTCTTTGTCCCCACGGTATTTACATGATGAACAGCTCCAACGAAAATTTGTTTTACTATTGCAGTGACATTGCGCCTTCGTTTTTGTTTCCAGGTATATGTTATGGATTCGAAATAATGAGGGATCACGAATCACCAAATATCCCATTTACCATTTTACGAACACGTTTTCCTGATGGTAAGTTACGTATGTGTGTACCTTTTATGGTGCTACAAACAGAGTATTATCAGTGAATCGGACAGATTGCGTGACGGTTTAGTCGCCTGACAGAGTTGTAACATAACCGAATGTGCAGTAACATAACCGAATGTGCCTGATGATATGCTTATGTGTATTTTTATTTCTTTAGCGCCAGAGTTGGTCATTTACGATAATGCCTGCAGATTGCACGAGTATTGTTTGAACCGAGATCCAGCATTTTTTAAGAAAACAAAATTTGTTGTTGATAAGTTTCATTGGAAAATCATTCAGGTAAACTGCCATACTCTTCCTATTTTACTTGAAGCGAACTTATTGATCCAAAATGGCCGTTTTATGTTTTCACAAAATTTGTTGATTTATAACTGTCCTAGGATGCTGCGAAGGATATAACATGAAATTGATGCTCAATATGTACAATAGCCAAGCTGCTGAACAGTGCAATTCGTGTATTAAGCCTCTTGCCTCCATGGTTTCTTACATGGAATACGATAACTTTTTTCTTTTCACAAAACTCCATATTTGGCACAGGAACATGTTACGCATTGTTAAATACAATCCTGAGAGAGAAATAGCCTACAAAGACTATTTTCTCACTCTTAGTCGCGTTATTCATTAGTAACGCGTTATAGTTTCGTTTTTCGAAAAATTTAAACTTGTTTTATGAATAGTTTTATCTGTAAAAATATTACTTCATAGTTACCCATATAGTTTCTGCAAAAGTAACAATTATATGTAACGTCGTTAATTGTAAAAAAATAATTTACATCACTTGTTATAAATATAAGAATGTTATTCATATGCACTAGCTTTAAACTTAAATTCTGCTTCATTACAAATTGCTTTGCTAAATGGCAAAGCTTCGAATCAGTTTTTTAAGGTATGGTCTTTTACTATTTACATGGATATCGACAAGTAATCCAGGACCAACTTCTCCCTATCAAAAACAACACTATCTTTATATGAACAGAGTAAACAAAGTGATTAAGAATCATGATATCTTTTCTCAACTTTACCCCCTCTGTTATTCTTCTCGCAAATTCTGTCACGAATATGCCACAATCATAACCATTTGCTTGTTGCATCACCTGTCGTCAATAGTTAAGTTATCCCTTTGTGACAATTTAAGCGTGATCTGTTGCCATTGTAAATGATAAGTACTTACGTCGGCATATATAGGTTGGGAAATTTGAGCAATGTCTTCTGGCCATCTTTGCTCTTGCCTCACATGCTGAAAATATCTTTTCACAAGAAAAATGATTTGTGTAGACGTGCTAGAAACATTCACTTTGTCAACATGTTAGATACATGATACACTTCATTCTTCAAGTAAATTGTTATGTACGTCATATACCTTCGTATACTGGATGCAACTTCACTTTTTTGCCACCCCATACTGCATAACACATAGAGTTTGCCTGCTCTAATATTGTATGCAATGAGCCACCAATGCAGCTTATATTTTTTAAATGAACATGGAGTTGGCTCATGTTGGCCTTTGCATCATGAAACAGTAAAAATTTAGTGCTTCCACCCTTACATGTCACATATTGGCACTAGCACACATTCATATTTATTCATTTCTTCAGGTGTGCACATCCCCACTCTTGAAATGAAACATCCTGATAATCTCAGCGGTCTTTCTCCTCTAAAAAGTAGGAAATACAGCGATGTTTATTTACACGATTTATGAGTAGTTTAATAATGTGAAAGTTGTGAATATTTTACCAAAATTTGCTACTTAAAATACGTACAGAGGTCCATCTATTAACAGTTTCTGTTGAAAAAAATTGCTAAATGCGAAATATTTTGCATTTCTTTTTTCTGCTAATTTACAGTAGTACCTATAAATAAAAATGTAAATGTTTTGACACATTAGCCATGCATTTAGAGTGACTTTCGTCCTTTATTTCAGCTACACCTAGATTTTTGGGTAGTACCTTAACAGGACGTCTACGATGGTGTCGCATACCCAACTGTTATCATTTAGTGTATTCAAATCTTTTGTAAATGCTTATACCATCGAAACAAGCAACTCTGGAATCAAAATGAAAACGTGTCAAGAATAAAAGGAGTCATTCTTATTTTCTTTATACGTGTCTAAAATATGTTTTACTACAAAAAACCTCTCATTTTCTCCATTCCAAGTTCTCCTAGAGAAAAAATAAAAAAATACAAACATCTTAATATACGTATGGCACAAAAGTTTAGAATCACTCAGATTTTTATTTGGCAAGAAATGTTGGGAAAAAACCTGTAATTTAAACTTTTATGCTGCGTTGGGTGTCGAGTTTGTCGTTTTTCCCATTTTGGCTCCAAGAATGCAAACAGGTCCTTCTTTATTTTACAAAGAGTAAAAGCCACACTGCCTACTCCTTGCATAGCTTGGCAAACACACGGTAGATATATTTGAAAAACCTCGTACTTAGGACACCACACCTCCAACGATGCACTAAGTGCCCCAGCAATACACATGAAGTGCGTATCTTTCAAGTCAACATCTATGAAAAAGTTAATTGAGCTTTTACCAGAAAGGCATGTTATATGAAAATTAAGCTTATGATCACTTTATTCAATTTAAAACCGTAGAATTAAATGGTGTGTACGGCGATTAATTAGGTTATTCGATAATACTAACAGTGTCTCTCTAATAAAACTTTTTTACGACCATGGTTATATATGCTGAAAACTGGCATATTTTATATTTCTACCACATTCTTCTAAACACTTTAACACTGTTAGCCTTCTCATCACTCGTTTTAACTCAAACTAACAAGATCTCTGTAATAAAACGTTTTTACGACCATGGTTGTATATGCCGAAAACTGGCATACTTTATATTTCTACCACATTCTTTTAAACACTTTAACACTGTTAGCCTTCTCATCACTCGTTTAAACTCAAGCTAACAAGATCTCTGTAATTAAACGTTTTTACGACCATGGTTATATATGCCGAAAACTGGCATAATTTATATTTCTACCACATTCTTCTAAACACTTTAACACTGTTAGCCTCATCACTCGTTTAAACTCAAACTAACAAGATCTCTGTAATAAAACGTTTTACGACCATGGTTGTATATGCCGAAAACTGGCATAATTTATATTTCTACCACATTCTTCTAAACACTTTAACACTGTTAGCCTTCTCATCACTCGTTTAAACTCAAACTAACAAGATCTCTGTAATAAAACATTTTACGACCATGGTTGCCGAAAACTGGCATACTTTATATTTTACCACATTCTTCTAAACACTTTAACACTGTTGGCCTTCTCATCAATCGTTTAAACTCAAGCTAACAAGATCTCTGTAATTAAACGTTTTTACGACCATGGTTATATATGCCGAAAACTGGCATAATTTATATTTCTACCACATTCTTCTAAACACTTTAACACTGTTAGCCTTCTCATCACTCGTTTAAACTCAAACTAACAAGATCTCTGTAATTAAACGTTTTTACGACCATGGTTATATATGCCGAAAACTGGCATATTTTATATTTCTACCACATTCTTCTAAACACTTTAACACTGTTAGCCTTCTCATCACTTCTTTAAACTTAAACTAACAATGTCTCTCTAATAAAAAGTTTTTACGACCATGGTTATTTATGCCGAAAACTGGCATACTTTATATTTCTACCACATTGTTCTAAACACTTTAACACTGTTAGCCTTCTCATCACTCGTTTAAACTTAAACTAACATTGTCTCTCTAATAAAACTTTTTTACGACCATGGTTATATATGCCGAAAACTGGCATAATTTATATTTCTACCACATTCTTCTAAACACTTTAACACTGTTAGCCTTCTCATCATTCGTTTAAACTCAAACTAACAAGATCTCTGTAATAAAACTTTTTTACGACCATGGTTATATATGCCAAAAACTGGCATACTTAATATTTCTACCACATTTTTCTAAACACTTTAACACTGTTAGCCTTCTCATCCTCGTTTTAACTCAAACTAACAAGATCTCTGTAATAAAACGTTTTACGACCATGGTTATATATGCCGAAAACTGGCATACTTTATATTTCTACCACATTCTTTTAAACACTTTAACACTGTTAGCCTTCTCATCACTCGTTTAAACTCAAACTAACAAGATCTCTGTAATAAAACTTTTTACGACCATGGTTATATATGCCGAAAACTGGCATACTTTATATTTCTACCACATTCTTCTAAACACTTTAACACTGTTAGCCTTCTCATCAATCGTTTAAACTCAAGCTAACAAGATCTCTGTAATTAAACGTTTTTACGACCATGGTTATATATGCCGAAAACTGGCATATTTTATATTTCTACCACATTCTTCTAAACACTTTAACACTGTTAGCCTTCTCATCACTTCTTTAAACTTAAACTAACAATGTCTCTCTAATAAAAAGTTTTTACGACCATGGTTATATATGCCGAAAACTGGCATACTTTATATTTCTACCACATTCTTCTAAACACTTTAACACTGTTAGCCTTCTCATCACTCGTTTAAACTTAAACTAACATTGTCTCTCTAATAAAACTTTTTTACGACCATGGTTATATATGCCGGAAACTGGCATACTTTATATTTCTACCACATTCTTCTAAACACTTTAACACTGTTAGCCTTCTCATCACTCGTTTAAACTCAAACTAACAAGATCTCTGTAATAAAACTTTTTTACGACCATGGTTATATATGCCAAAAACTGGCATACTTAATATTTCTACCACATTTTTCTAAACACTTTAACACTGTTAGCCTTCTCATCACTCGTTTTAACTCAAACTAACAAGATCTCTGTGATAAAACGTTTTTACGACCATGGTTGTATATGCCGAAAACTGGCATACTTTATATTTCTACCACATTCTTTTAAACACTTTAACACTGTTAGCCTTCTCATCACTCGTTTAAACTCAAACTAACAAGATCTCTGTAATAAAACATTTTTACGACCATGGTTATATATGCCGAAAACTGGCATACTTTATATTTCTACCACATTCTTCTAAACACTTTAACACTGTTAGCCTTCTCATCACTCGTTTAAACTCAAACTAACAAGATCTCTGTAATAAAACGTTTTTACGACCATGGTTATATATGCCGAAAACTGGCATACTTAATATTTCTACCACATTTTTCTAAACACTTTAACACTGTTAGCCTTCTCATCACTCGTTTAAACTCAAACTAACAAGATCTCTGTAATAAAACGTTTTTACGACCATGGTTATATATGCCGAAAACTGGCATACTTTATATTTCTACCACATTCTTTTAAACACTTTAACACTGTTAGCCTTCTCATCACTCGTTTAAACTCAAACTAACAAGATCTCTGTAATAAAACATTTTACGACCATGGTTTTATATGCCGAAAACTGGCATACTTTATATTTCTACCACATTCTTCTAAACACTTTAACACTGTTGGCCTTCTCATCACTCGTTTAAACTCAAGCTAACAAGATCTCTGTAATAAAACGTTTTACGACCATGGTTATATATGCCGAAAACTGGCATACTTTATATTTCTACCACATTCTTCTAAACACTTTAACACTGTTAGCCTTCTCATCACTCGTTTAAACTCAAACTAACAAGATCTCTGTAATAAAACATTTTACGACCATGGTTATATATGCCGAAAACTGGCATACTTTATATTTCTACCACATTCTTTTAAACACTTTAACACTGTTAGCCTTCTCATCACTCGTTTAAACTCAAACTAACAAGATCTCTGTAATAAAACATTTTACGACCATGGTTATATATGCCGAAAACTGGCATACTTTATATTTCTACCACATTCTTCTAAACACTTTAACACTGTTAGCCTTCTCATCACTCGTTTAAACTCAAACTAACAAGATCTCTGTAATAAACGTTTTTACGACCATGGTTATATATGCCGAAAACTGGCATACTTTATATTTCTACCACATTCTTCTAAACACTTTAACACTGTTAGCCTTCTCATCACTCGTTTAAACTCAAACTAACAAGATCTCTGTAATAAAACGTTTTTACGACCATGGTTATATATGCCGAAAACTGGCATACTTTATATTTCTACCACATTCTTTTAAACACTTTAACACTCTTAGGCTTCTCATCACTCGTTTAAACTCAAACTAACAAGATCTCTGTAATAAAACGTTTTTACGACCATGGTTATATATGCCGAAAACTGGCATACTTTATATTTCTACCACATTCTTCTAAACACTTTAACACTGTTAGCATTCTCATCACTCGTTTAAACTTAAACTAACATTGTCTCTCTAATAAAACTTTTATACGACCATGGTTATATATGCCGAAAACTGGCATACTTTATATTTCTACCACATTCTTTTAAACACTTTAACACTGTTAGCCTTCTCATCACTCGTTTAAACTCAAACTAACAAGATCTCTGTAATAAAACATTTTTACGACCATGGTTGTATATACCGAAAACTGGCATACTTTATATTTCTACCACATTCTTCTAAACACTTTAACACTGTTGGCCTTCTCATCACTCGTTTAATTTCAAGCTAACAAGATCTCTGTAATTAAACGTTTTTACGACCATGGTTATATATGCCGAAAACTGGCATATTTTATATTTCTACCACATTCTTTTAAACACTTTAACACTGTTAGCATTCTCATCACTTCTTTAAACTTAAACTAACATTGTCTCTGTAATAAAACTTTTTTACGACCATGGTTATATATGCCAAAAACTGGCATATTTTATATTTCTACCACATTCTTCTAAACACTTTAAAACTGTTAGCCTTCTCATCACTCGTTTAAACTCAAACTAATAAGATCTCTGTAATAAAACGTTTTTACGACCATGGTTATATATGCCGAAAACTGGCATACTTTATATTTCTACCACATTCTTTTAAACACTTTAACACTGTTAGCCTTCTCATCACTCGTTTAAACTCAAACTAACAAGATCTCTGTAATAAAACTTTTTACGACCATGGTTATATATGCCGAAAACTGGCATACTTTATATTTCTACCACATTCTTCTAAACACTTTAACACTGTTAGCCTTCTCATCACTCGTTTAAACTCAAACTAACAAGATCTCTGTAATAAAACATTTTACGACCATGGTTATATATGCCGAAAACTGGCATACTTTATATTTCTACAACATTTTTCTAAACACTTTAACACTGTTAGCCTTCTCATCACTCGTTTAAACTCAAACTAACAAGATCTCTGTAAAACATTTTACGACCATGGTTATATATGCCGAAAACTGGCATACTTTATATTTCTACCACATTCTTCTAAACACTTTAACACTGTTAGCCTTCTCATCACTCGTTTAAACTCAAACTAACAAGATCTCTGTAATAAAACGTTTTTACGACCATGGTTATATATGCCGAAAACTGGCATACTTTTATTTCTACCACATTTTTCTAAACACTTTAACACTGTTAGCCTTCTCATCACTCGTTTAAACTCAAACTAACAAGTTCTCTGTAATAAAACGTTTTTACGACCATGGTTATATATGCCGAAAACTGGCATACTTAATATTTCACATTTTTCTAAACACTTTAACACTGTTAGCCTTCTCATCACTCGTTTAAACTCAAACTAACAAGATCTCTGTAATAAAACATTTTACGACCATGGTTATATATGCCGAAAACTGGCATACTTTATATTTCTACCACATTCTTCTAAACACTTTAACACTGTTGGCCTTCTCATCACTCGTTTAAACTCAAGCTAACAAGAACTCTGTAATTAAACGTTTTACGACCATGGTATATATGCCGAAACTGGCATACTTTTTATTTCTACCACATTTTTCTAAACACTTTAACACTGTTAGCCTTCTCATCACTCGTTTAAACTCAAACTAACAAGATCTCTGTAATAAAACGTTTTACGACCATGGTTATATATGCCGAAAACTGGCATACTTAATATTTCTACCACATTTTTCTAAACACTTTAACACTGTTAGCCTTCTCATCACTCGTTTTAACTCAAACTAACAAGATCTCTGTAATAAAACGTTTTTACGACCATGGTTATATATGCCGAAAACTGGCATACTTTATATTTCTACCACATTCTTCTAAACACTTTAACACTGTTAGCCTTCTCATCACTCGTTTAAACTTAAACTAACATTGTCTCTAATAAAACTTTTTACGACCATGGTTATATATGCCGAAACTGGCATACTTTATATTTCTACCACATTTTTCTAAACACTTTAACACTGTTAGCCTTCTCATCACTCGTTTAAACTCAAACTAACAAGATCTCTGTAATAAAACATTTTTACGACCATGGTTATATATGCCGAAAACTGGCATACTTTATATTTCTACCACATTCTTCTAAACACTTTAACACTGTTGGCCTTCTCATCACTCGTTTAAACTCAAGCTAACAAGAACTCTGTAATTAAACGTTTTTACGACCATGGTTATATATGCCGGAAACTGGCATACTTTTATTTCTACCACATTTTTCTAAACACTTTAACACTGTTAGCCTTCTCATCATTCGTTTAAACTCAAACTAACAAGATCTCTGTAATAAAACGTTTTTACGACCATGGTTATATATGCCGAAAACTGGCATACTTAATATTTCTACCACATTTTTCTAAACACTTTAACACTGTTAGCCTTCTCACCACTCGTTTTAACTCAAACTAACAAGATCTCTGTAATAAAACGTTTTTACGACCATGGCTATATATGCCGAAAACTGGCATACTTTATATTTCTACCACATTTTTCTAAACACTTTAACACTGTTAGGCTTCTCATCACTCGTTTAAACTCAAACTAACAAGATCTCTGTAATAAAACTTTTTTACGACCATGGTTATATATGCCGAAAACTGGCATACTTTATATTTCTACCACATTTTTCTAAACACTTTAACACTTTTAGCCTTCTTATCACTCGTTTAAACTTAAACTATTAATGTCTCTCTAATAAAACTTTTTTACGAGCATGGTTATATATTATTATAGTAAGTACACAAAACGCCACTTTTGTCATGTGTCGCCAATGCGCAATATCTAGCAAGGAGTCTTTTCTACTGATTAGTCCAGTTGTCGTTAGGTCAGCGGAGACCCTCATTTTGATGGTTGTATTTGTGGTTGTATATGCCAGAAAATGGATGCGATACATATATCAAGTGGTTTTAATTTTGAAAACTGCAGAAGGTGAAATGTTTCTTCTTTGTCTTTATGCTCTTCTTTACGTCTATCTTGATTCCTCTATTGCATTGATGTTTCAGAAACTTCCTTCTTGAAAAAAAATGGATTGAAGACACCGATAGCTCTCAAAACAGGCACAACAATTTGTGGAATAGTCTACAAAGTAAGTTAATTAAAAATTGGACACTGGACAGACATATTTCATGATAACCAAGGGCTAAAACGCAAATTTTAATTAATGTTTAAATTCTGTTTAGGATGGTGTCATTCTTGGAGCCGACACTAGAGCAACTGAGGTATTAATATCTTGGTATAAGAACGTATATTAAACATAAATTTTTCACAATTTGTTTTTACAATTAGGATGCAATTGTTGCGGATAAAAACTGTTCGAAAATCCATTACATTGCTCCAAATATGTAGTATGTACTTTACATAAATAGCCATTAAAAGCAGTGACTTAAAATACCTGCATCATTTAATATCACCATATTCATGTTATTTTAGTTGTTGTGGAGCTGGGACTGCTGCAAATACAGATTATGTAACAAATCTTATTTCTTCCAACCATGAATTGCATAGTCTAAACACTGGACGACAGGTTTGTATCAATGTTTCTGCTTAGTTGGCGATCTGCCTCAGGTCGTCGTTGATGTTAATACGAGCAGTTACGATTAATTTCGAGCAATCTAGGTGACTTAGGAATTGTAAAGGCTGGTATGTATTGGAACATTAATACGAGAATCAAGGCTTAACTGAAAAAATTGTACAGATGCTAGGTAAAGGTCTTGACTGCGAAGTGTAGAGTTCAGCTCTGAGACGAAGGTGAAGGTCTTGAGATGGAGGTGTTGGTCTTGAGATAGGTGTAGGAAAGGGGCTTATAATGGATATTGTGATGTTCGGTGTTGGTCCAATGACATTTTCATGAAAGTAAAGAGATTTTTTATTGTGCTTCCACTTTACAGATTTGCAAAGTGAGAAACATCGTCGTATGTTGTATTCTATGGAAATGGAGCAGATGGCGGAAAACGCCAAAAAACAAATGGAAGACGTGAGTCATATTCAGACGGATTTCGTCACTGCGACACAGATTGGTCACGTGAAGACAATGTTCAAGGTACGGGGGGTGGAGTCTGGAGGATAATCTATGTGGTGTATGTAAGGATTGATTAACGAAGCGTGAATTGTGATGTCAACTTATACGGACAGTGCCAAGTACGGGGGGCGTAGATTTCAAAACATGATGACATTCATCTTAATCTTGTTAAAGAAAAGACTTAGATTTTATGTAATGAATGTTTGCGATGACGAAGAGTAAATCTGTTTGATAATCTAATATTTTAACTGAGCAGTGAATGATTTGACTGAATTTTCTATTGAGATAATCCACTACTTAAGCTAAATCTGCTTCTTACAACCTTCCCAGTCCCCATTGTTGACCATTTTGCTTTGTGTGTTTAAGGTTGCATGGAGTCCGTTTCTTGCCGCGTTCAGCTTCAATCTACAAGACAACGACGATTCTTCTGTTGCTTCATTTTGTCTTGATGGAATCCGCTGTGCAATACGAATATCTTGCATATTCAGCATGCCTGTAAGTTGATAAACATACAACATTCTGTTCTTTTTTATATATTTGGGTATGAAATAACGACATTAATGTCTCTGCATACCTTTTCATTCCCTGGTGACCCTTTCCCGGACATAAATATATATTCAAAAATATGTTGAATGTTGAATTGTTGAAATTTATGAATATATTTACGTAGTTACATACACGTCATGTTCTTTGCGTGTTATATGTTCAAGGTTTAGATTATACTCATATGTATACAATAAAAACAGATGTTTGTTTACCTTTGAATTTGATTGTCTGTTTGTGTACAAATATGGATATATCAGAATGCATGTGAATGTGAAATAATCTTTTCTTAAAAGTTTTTCAATGATTACAGCTAGTTATAATGATGTTAGGGAATATGAATGGAGATTCTTTACCATTAAGTTCATTTTTCGATACTCCTAATAACTCTTTTCACATTGTAGTTGGAAAGAAATGCTTTCGTACAAGCGCTATCCAGGTTCACTTTACTTACTGCGACCAGTGGCACGCATATTCATGAAATGAAAACGAAGAACATGGAGACGATCAAGACACTTCTTACCATCGCTCAAACGGATGGTAATTACATCGGGAAGTCTTGGCTCGAGGTAGAGAGAATCATCTTGCTATATATTATGGTTGGTGTCTACGACTGAAAATATGATCGATTGTTTTTTCATCAAAGGAAAAAGTCTAGGTCTTGTCTGTAGTCTTATTTTCACGATATTGCTACAGTCTTTACCTTTCCTTTTTTCAAGTGCTTTGTTGACCGTATTTCATACCCTTCATCAGAGAATCGTATCACAAATGTACATCTGTAATAAATATACATAAGAAAATGAAGTTTTTTCTCAAGATATTTTTTATTTGAAGATATTTTCTACGTATGTATTTAACGTTTATGTTCGTCTTGTTGAACACTCGTTTTCGTTGCTCAAATGCTCGTTCCGCTCGGCGCATATTTTTGCGTTTCCCTAAAAGAGAAAATCCTAAAAGAGAAAATGCATTTCATTCTAGATACTGAAATGCATTTCCCAACTTGAATTGGCTCAACTTATCGGTACTGGTGTGAAAACGCGATACCTTCACACGGCGTCCAGCGGTGTTACTAATTCACCCACAGCATTCATCGCAAACAACAAGACATCTTATGATATAACCTCAGGTTGCTTATAACATTGTTGTGACGCTCATAAATGTCAAATACTAACGTTGGGTGCTTTTCTTTGTTTGTATTTCTATGAAGGTCGGATGCCTGTTGCCGCTGACTCGAAAAAAGCGGCTGGCTCACAGGAAGCCATTTGGGAGACCGCTGCACAAAGTGTTGTCGTTGCAGTTGACAGGTAACGTTTACTTTAATGATAGCTATGTGGATTGTCTTTTGTGACCTATCTCCCACCCCAGGGGCGAAGCTAGAACGTTAATGCAGGGGGAGAGGTGAATATTCATATATATGGTCATACATTCCGCTGTGACCAACTAATTTCTTTTCAAATTGAAATAGCTTTTAAACCAAATCAGTCAAGCAAAACTAAATATTCACCCCTCCCATCCAGCGTTCTTGCTTCTTCCCTTCCCCCCTGCCAGAAATCTTTAAAATTGTCTTCAAGGTAGAGTTGGGCTTGTAACAGCAAGAAATGTTGATGGATGATTCTCTATGTAGACATGTTCATTGTCCGTTAGCAGAGTCCTGAGAAGGACTGTTATTGTTATTGTTGACTGACGTTTTGACATCCTTAGCGGTAGTCATCTTCAGGCTTAAGTGAACCAGAGAACCTTGAATATAAACATGAAAATAAATTTTAAAGAACTCCTGCACTGTCTTTGCGTTATGTTCTCTCAGCAGAATATCTTCATCTCAACTTCTTCATTGTGTTTTATTACGTTTAGAGTTTTCACGGGATCAGTGAAACTGGATGGTGATGCTATCGGTAGGTTTGCATGTATACATTAAAATGCATCTTACATAAGATTTTTATACATCTAACTTGACCATAATTCACTGACCATTCTTTATCCCAAGTACCCAAATTTCTAGTATCCAAATTCCCTGTTCCCAAATACCAAATCCCAAGTATCCAAATCCCAAGTATCCCAAATCCCCAGTATCCCAAATCCCCAGTTTGCAAATCCCCAGTTCTCAAATCCCAAGTATCGTTATCTCCTGTATCCAAATCTCAAAATGTTTTCGTTTTTCTCCTAAGTCGATTTCGTGGAAGGTTTACGTCAAGTCTCGGAAGTTCACCTTTCCAATCCTACAATGATACGTATGTTTAGTCTGCAGAAGATCGTAGAGATTGCTTATTACAATATTGTTCTTATTCGGCTGCAATGGTCACGAATATGGGCTGTGTTGGGAGATCATTATAACAAGGTTAGCAATTATTAACGACTAAGATAGTATCTTGATATTATGGTTAATAACATCACGTTGTTATGATGTACTCAGGTATAGTAACAAGATAATCATTGTCTTCAATGTTCTATGAACTACAATATCAGATCAATTGTGAACTATGATGATATTTTAAAACACAGTTCTAGTTTCTTTCATATCTCAAGTATAAAAACAATATAATCAATGCCTTCATCTCCAATGTTCTACCAACTATAGTACTTCTCCATCTTAGATAATTCATGTGTCATTTTAATGTGGTTGTAACTCTAATAAAGAAGTTGCGTTCTTCTTTGCGACAATTATCCATGAAGTTCTTGGAAAAGGGGGAATTGCCAAATTTCCGATTTCAAAAGGATTTTCTCCGACCCTTCGAACACATAATGAAGAAAAACAGGTAAGTTTATGCAGGAGTGAATTCTGTCAGAAAATGTAAATTTTCTTGCAGCTTGAAAATCTTTCTCTCAAATAAACAAAATTTGTGGCAGACTTTGTAGATTCTTTTCCAAGTTATAATTTTACGACGAATTTTACAAAGGACGTCTTTCGATCAATCGCTCTGTCTTGTCTCTTATAATTGGAAGGATTTGATTAAAATTCTTTCTTCGATATCTTTATGAACTTGGCAACAAGGAATGCAATTTTCAGTCTACGATTTGCTTGAATCAACAACTGGATTTTTCACATTTTAGTTCTTCCACAATTCGAGATATGGTCGTACGATGTGTCACACAAATGGTTCATTCGCAAGCCGCAAACATCAAATCTGGTTGGAAAAATGTTTCTCCGTTTTCATTTGGCTGCGTCCGATCATGATGAAGGAATCGTGGAACTCGCTTTTCAAACAACAGGTTTGTAGTTTAAGGAAGGAGATTTTTCTTCTAATCTTACCGCCGACCTGTGTGTTGTTCTCTTGGGTGAGGTTCTTGTATCGGTGCAAATTTTAAAATTTTAAAATAAAAATGATTGCATATGTTTGAAGAAATGATGGTGAATCCGTTTCCAAGCATGAACGACTTAGACATCTGTAAAATATTAAATTAAATTCAAATTGAATTTGAATATCGCTTAAGTAAATGTGTTTCTCGGATGTGACGGAGAACTTCGTTTATTTTTCAACAAGAATTTTATGTGTTCGTTCTTTTCCATGGTAATTCAGCCATATTCGTATAAGTTTTCAAGGTAAACTTTTATTTACCATAAAGTCGATGGATTATCTTCTCATGATTCATAAATGATAATTAAACGAGAGTTAATGGAGAAATGAAATAAATGTATGAAGCAGTTTTTAGTTGATGCAAATTACGTGTCAAAAGGCAGAGTTTTTTAAACTTTTCTAGCCCTGTTTCTCTACTGTTTCAACGTCACTTGTAAATCAAAGCTTTGACAGATTCATTTATCCCACAAGATTATCGGTGTATAAATTTCACATCCCCATTTTCTCTTTCAGCCACGATTTTTGAGAAATATTTCTCCGCGACCATCGACTCTTTCCAAGATGCCGTCAAGTGTCTCTCGGAATTCGCATGCAACGCAAGTTTCCCGGACACGAGTATGGAAGCAATAAGACTGATACGAAATTGCGCCAAATTTCTTTCCGAAAATCCTGTGGTACGACAATTGCAAATCTACTTTCTTTTCACCTTTGAAATTTATTTAAAATTTGGCAAAATCACATTAAAGCTAACCACTTTGGATCAAATCAAATCCTAATTATCTATTTCAATCGCTTTTTCGTGAAGCATTTTTCAATGGCGTCTGTTTTCTTTTCTTTTATAAACAGATATTTAAAGACTACGGAGTTGAGAATGCTGGTTATCAGAGCAGGACAGAATCTGTGTGAAAGGCTGGTTTCCAGTCCTTTGAGCTTTCGTGTATCATCAACCGATGTAAACTAGATGTCAGAACAAGGTATGGTGGAAATACTGAGTTGTTTGTACTGTATAGATTAGTATGCATTGTATAATTTGAATGTGAGCTATTTTCCATCCATCAACTAGAGGCCTAACCGTGATGTTTGAAATCAATGAAAACATATGGGAACACGTTTCTCCAACATTGGTGGCGTGATGTGTTTAAAGTCTTGTTTCGAATTTTCGACAACATGAAACTATCAGACAGACAGATAGATTGGCAGGAGGTTAGAAAACTGTCATTATTTTGCTCTTATTATATGGCAAGCGTCACTTCCGGCTAAATGGCGCGCTTTGATTGGCTGAGAAACATTTTTCCGGTCCATTATTCTCCCGTAATCGACCACGTTTCAAAACGCGTAGTTTATAATATGTCGTTATTTTGGTCTTATTGTCTATGATTGCCATAAACACACATTATATCGCAAAAAGTCAACTTACATACATGACTATCCAGTTCCACATGGAATAATATTCATTTCATGTGTTCATATCTATCCACCTTCATTCCTCATTCACTCATCCATTTCAATTGTGTATCCACTCCATTGAACTACAATACATGGAACGCTACCTGTAACAGAAAACCGTAGTAATTTTTTGAAGCCAAATTTGACACCCAGACACGCGGGTGTAGTTCAATCAATTTTCACTGCGCGAGAGAACTCAAAACACTAAACACGCGTGTGTCTGGATGTAAGATTTTGCTTAAATTATTTGCTTCATGTAGCGTTCCATGTATTTTAGTTCAATGATCCCCTCATATCTTCCTCTATTTCTTATTCACTTCTTTCCACTTTCATTCTAGAGTCTCTACTTCATTCTCTATCCATTCTTATCCTCTTGCATTCCCTATTCACACACCGATTTCATTTTGTGTAAACGATTTGTACCAGTATGGAAGTTTTGAAACACTCGTTTGTGAAAGTTACCCACCTGTAAAGAATGCTTTTGCCTTTAAAACAGGAGGGAGTAGTTTTAAACTACGGGAAGGTCGTTTCCTTTACATAGAATAAAGTCCGTGTATAAGGTGTTGTATTTCCTCGTTATAAAATGAGACATCAGCTGAGGTTGTTTTGAAATTTGTGATGTTTCTTTATAGAAATCAGAATGGATGACAACAACTTGTAATCACGCTCAATCTGCTATCATCGATGTTTTTACTCAGTATTTTGATATTCTTGCTGAAATTTTTCTTGATGATATGTATGGCCATCTAGAGTGGTGTGTTAAACAAGGTAAGCTTGAAATTACGCAACGTGTTTGTGCTTGGCATATGCCTTGGTGATTGGTTCGTTGTGTCAAAGTTTTTGATTGGTTTGAAATATCAGAGTTACTGATTGGTTTGAAGTATTAGAGTTTGTAATTGATTTGGTGTGAGGTACATTAGTATACAAGAAGTATCAGAGATTCTTAGAGGTTCGACTGTCAATGCTTTGTAACACCATGTCCTGCTTTGCTCGTTCATTCAATACATGTCCTGCCTTTCTCGTTCATTCAATATGTCGTGCTTTGCTCGTTCATTGGTGATGTCCTGCTTTGCTCGTTCATTCAATACATGTCTTTAGATAACGAGCAGTTAGCGAGGTCTGGTACCAATTGTTTGGAAAATCTCGTCATATCCATTGGCAACACGTTCTCCGAAGACGTCTGGAAAAAGACATGTCAATGTGTAAAGACGATATTTGAATCAACCGTACCTCACGAACTATTGAAATGGAGACCCGCTGACCATAATTAATGAGTCCACCCACACCTGATGTCACTCCTCCGTCATCACCACTCAAGGTAAGTTACACTTAGGGCCTGATTATATGGAGGCGAGCTGGCCCGGATAGCGAGCTGGCCCGGATAGCGAGCTAGCCCCGATGATTTCAAGGGATTGAAAAGAGCCAAAACTTCAAGGTTAAAAATTACAAATGTTTGCGAAGCACCACACGTCATTCTGGTTGTAATTCTCAAATTATGGCAAATTGGTTGTTTTAATTTTAAATGTTTTGCGTAGTTATTAAATCAGAGTTTTGTGAAATTGCTTGAGAAAATTTATCTGATAATAAGTATTGAATCGTTTCCGCCCCTTAGTATTATTTATGAAGTTTTAAAGCCCGACACTGTAAAATTTCAGACAAATCTTCATAACTATTCTGTTTGTTTTATGTATTTATTACCTTTAAAATTGACGTATATTGTAGATAATGTTACCTGTCGACCTGGAGGATGATATCGTGCCCAAATATCTGGAAGGTAAATAAAAAGTTTGTGAATTCTTTTAAAGGAAAATGTTGCTTCAATTGTCTCCATGATTATAGGATTGGAAAATATTTCATGGTAAGCTAAAGCTCGCATATTAAAAAAGCTCATTTGAACCAAAAGCTCATATGAAGCAAATGTTCGCATATTACAATATAGCTCGTGTGAATCTTTAACTCGTATGGACAAACAGCTTGTATTCTTTGAGTAACAAGTGAAAATTTTTCCGTATTATTTTTTAGACGAGGACGAACAAGATGGTCAGCAATCGTCAAAAGGTTTGAATGAAACGGAGGAGGAAATGCCTCAAGAAACAGTTGAAGAAACAAAAGAACAAGACAGCATCAGTTTACATAGTACGCCTAGTTTACGATTTGAACCTGTCGAAGAACACGAACGAGGTAACTATGTGTTAGAAATCGAGATTAATAATTTGTTGTCACAGCCTGCTGCCATTTACGTGTTTAATTTACTTTGGTTTATTGGAAAGGCGTAGAAAAACGTATAATTGATATATGCGTTTGAAAAACTCAATCTGAAGTAAACAATCTTTATTTCCATATTCTCGTATTCTTCCGGACATGCTTAATGTAACATTTCCTGAAACTGCTTATGTTCTAAAAATTTACATTTTTTGCAATGTTTGAAACAATAATGTTGTTAATTGTTGCTAATAGAACTAATAATGTTACTAATTTGTAATTATTACTACTTCTCCTTTTAACACTTATTTTTCATAAAAAATGGCACTAACTTAAGGAACTCGTTTTTGCTTTATTTTTTGGCATTCGTTGCTTATTTTATTTTATTTTAGAAGACCTCTAATAAGATAAATTATGATTATTTAAAGATTCTTTATGCACAACTAAAATAATGAGATGATTTTACGACGTTAAAGTACATACATGAAAAAATTAAAAAATGTCACTCGGGTGTTGGTTGAACATTTCCGTATTCACGCACAGACGATTTTTTCATTTGTCGGTAAAAATCGAACTTTTGAATATGTCAAACAAAGGGCTAATTTATCTTATTAGAGGTCTTCTAAAATAAAATAAAATAAGCAACGAATGCCAAAAAATAAAGCAAAAACGAGTTCCTTAAGTTAGTGCCATTTTTTATGAAAAATAAGTGTTAAAAGGAGAAGTAGTAATAATTACAAATTAGTAACATTATTAGTTCTATTAGCAACAATTAACAACATTATTGTTTCAAACATTGCAAAAAATGTAAATTTTTGAACATAAGCAGTTTTCAGGAAATGTTACATTGAGCATGTCCAGAAGAATACGAGCCTTGAATCTTGCTGCCTGCGTCGTCTCTGGTTGTGCTGTTCGGAAGTAAGCTTGGACAACTTATAAGCTTTATTTGTGGATCTCTGTTTATATAGCATCGGGTTTCGGCGTTGTAATACTGTAGAAATTCTAAAGATTTTATTACAGTTTGATAGTCCGGAACGTCCTCCTATGCTGCGTATGATATTTTGGTTCTTGAGAACACCATGAAGATAATCAGAGATCGGATATTTTGACCTCAGGTTTAACAACTCGTTTCTTGAATATCTTATTCTTCCAGTCACATGTGAATATAAATCCAAACATGGCCGATTTCCGATTCTGTTTTCCTGGGTTTGTAGGGTTTCTGGCCCTGGATTCGCATTGATATCTATATGTGCCGTTAGGTCAACTAAGAAAGTACGTTCTGGGAGGTGGAAGATTCGTGCTGTATTCTCTTTCGGAGATGGGAGGTTCGTGCTGTATTCTCCTTTTAAATGCTTGATTGCTGTCTTGAAAGTCGTAGCATAAATTTGTGTAAAATATCTCCTTTGGCGGCGTGTTTGTTGAGGAAGACCAGTTTTGTTGTACCAAAAGAAGTCTTGATAGTAGTTAAACATCATTATAAATCCACATTAAGTTTATAAAATAGCATACGAATAAAATTTTGTAGAGCCACTTTGTGTGATAAGCTGCCATCATGGCGCATACATCCATTCCATCCAGTCACACCACCGACCTTTACTTCTTCTGCAACTTTTGGGACACGTACGACTTGGATGGGCCTTGTAGTAGTAGATACTTTAACGTGTTTGATGTGTTTATCAGTTTTTTCGTGTTTGGTTAAGTTTGCTTGTTTGGGTCTGATTGTGGCACGGCACAATTTACAAAAAGCATCTTCACTTCCGTCTTAAGCTTTTGTGAGCCAGCTAAATTTACTTTCCCAAGACTTGTTATATTTTCTTCCGCTATCATACGCTCCTTTCCATTTTGATGCCATAATATTGCAACGAATAACGTTTTTATCAGTCTTAACTAGTATTAGTAGTGGTCGAACGTGCTATTTATAGCTAGATGTCGGACGTCTACGAAGACAAAGCTGTGTGCTTGCTTGTGATTAGCTGGTTAAATTGCATGACAATTGGCTGAATTATACTTAGCTGTGATTGGATGAAAACAATTCAATGCTCAATTTGATCCTTATGATCATTTTTAGTTGTATTTCCATCGCATTTTGTACATTTAAGAGATTTTTACAAATAAAGCTCAATAAAAAGAGGCCAAAAAGTAGCCAAATAGCCAAAAAAAATTTCGAGGCCAAAGAAAGAAAAAAAGGCCAAAATCGAGTTATTTGGCCTCAAAAAGGCCAAACTAACAAACCTGATGCAGAGCCGTAGTAGAAATTATGGCAAAAATCTCACTGCAGCAAAAAACTTCCTGTCCTTATGTTACGTCACATACTTCTCGTTTCAGGCTCCCATCAAGCAAATTGAACGCGCAGCAATTTTCTCCATTATTGCCGATGTTGAGAAAAGAAACGCATTTATCTCATAAACGAAGCCATCAATCAGAAAATTGCAAAATAACTTTTAAAATGATTTTTTTACCTCAATCAGAAAATTCGAAAAAAAGTTGTGAGATAAGCACTTTAAAATATTTGTTTGCGTCAAAGCTTTGCATGATGAACTGTCAAGCCGAAACGCTATCAATTTTGTAGTATCTCTGATTACTGAGATGTGAGAAAATTAACCGTCTTATCTACTATCAGTCGTCAAAAATAATTATTGGAAAAGTTGTTGTTTATATTCTTAATTTTTTTGAGCTATCTTATCGGTAAAAATGTTATTATATAGTTTTCCTGGCTGCCTCAACTTTGCGTTTGTTAATAGTTTAGTTTCCAGAACATTTCAATAATTCAAATAAATATATGTAAACTGTGTATAAGGTTTATCAAATTTAACTGAAACATAATTTGTTGTAAAATTTATAAATCATCCCTTCTTCGTGTATTCTCATCAGTCATAGCTAAAATATAAAATTTGCCCATCTCTTTTCATCGTCTCGCTGTTATCTGTTTGACTATTCAAGTTTCCACCGCCTACGGTGCGAACTTGAATAGCTCGCTTTCAGTCTTTACTGATAAATATCGGACCTTTGTCTCTTTGTACAAACCTCACCCTACAGGATCACTTTGTAAGACCTCGTACTCGGTTATTAAAAGTTTACTAATCTTGTTATACGTGTTAAAAGTCACTTTTCACATAAAAAAGCACACATGCAGGGCACAGACCGGTCTAAACAGTCACAGTAAACGAGTCAAGATTTAATCATGGCATCTCAGTTGTTAAAGCGAGCTAAGTGACTGATCTGTGAAGCCAGTAGCCAGTAGATAACGTGTTGCTTACTAAAAACTACAAGTTAATTGTCATGGACTTTCAACATGCAAGTGAAGCAAGGGATAGCAGTGCTGAAATGCAAGGTAGAGCTAAGAACTATGCTAAGAAACTGACCAGTTATCTGTTTGTCAAGTTCCTTCACTTTCTCTTAGACATTATCCAGCAAGTTAGCAAGGTGTCACTTGTATTTCAAAGAGATGATAGCACAATTGCATTAGTTCAAGATAAGATAAACACACTAACTGCCACTTTAGAGGCAATTAAAATAAGATCAGGACAGCATCTGAGATCTTTTGAGCAGTAACTCTGTCCAAGAAAACTGGTGATGATGCCTCTTTTGACACTACTAAAGACACTGTCATGGAACTAGCAAAACATTGCACTGAATGGGCCTAACCACTCTGACTACAATGCCACCAGAGCAGTTGCCAGATGGCTAAACTCGGGAGAAAGGCTGAGAAGACCACAAAGAATGGACATGGACTGAAAGTATTCACAAGTCTTTATTTGTCTCATAGAGTACTAATAAAATAAGTTATTCTATTAGTTATTTTAAAAGCTCAAGCCTCAAACCTGGCTACCAACGGATGCCTGTTGGCTAGTAAATTTCAAGCCTTACTAGCCCAAGGACTAGTAAGTTTAAAAGTTAAGGTCGAGCACTGGCGACTGCGAAAATTTCGCGCGATTTACGATCATAAATGTTATGGCGAACTTGAATCCGACAGAGCGAAGCAACAAAAGAAGCGATGGTCAGTTTAGTTTACTAATTTCTAGTAACCTGCCAGACCACAAGGTGACTATTTTTAGCTGAAGATATTTTTGAATTAGGAGAAATATTTTCGGGACCACCAATGTTTTCACCACTCTCTATATTGTCGCCAGTTCTAAAGTCAACATAACCCTCTCCCCCACTGATTACAAGCCAACTTTTCTCTTCGTCGAGAACGGCAGATGTGGCCTCAGCTTTCACTGACGACGACGACAGCTTAGGTGATATTAATGAAGTTGCCTTGTCCGTGCACCGAGAGACGGTGACAAAAAACTTGACGGAGTCACGATGTCCGTGAAACGAAATATGCGCGTTAACCTTCGTAAAATATGAAAATAAAAACATTTCAAGCAATAAACAATTCTGTAAAAAACATCATGCTTCCATGTATTTTCTTATAATATAATAAAGTGCACAAAAGTAAACATAATTGCAGTTAACTCATTTAGCCGTTCTCGTTGTATTGCATATGGATAATTTTATATACTTACCATGGAACAATAAGGCATAAAACGAGAACTTCCTGTCTTTTCTCCCTTTCCTTCAGTGTCCGTGTAAACTCGAACTACTCCTCCTGGCCCACCACTATCTACTGGGGAAGTAACTGGAGATTTTGAAGATTCTGGTTGAGCAACCACCAGTGGTATAGACAGTATAACACCGTTGCCTGTACCAACCCACATGCGGTCCTTGGTCAACAATAGAGAGCTTAAGCAAGCGACGTTTTCGACAACACGAACGTCATGGTGAGTGTAGGTCTGGGTCGAGGACGCGGTCGGTGGCGGGAAATCTGAACGGTTAAGCTGAATTATATTTTTCACGACAAACTTCAGCTTGCTTATAGATAAGTTAATTTTGGGTTTTTTGATATGGAAAATTCATTCAAGAATGCAAGAAGTGCAGCACTACTCAGTCATGCAAACAACTGTTTAACCGACGAGGAGTTAGTTTTACTTTTAGAGGCTTTCACTTCAAAAAATCCAGATTTTTGCTATGAAGCATACGATCAATTTAATTTGGAAGACATCCCAGAAGCTGAGTGCAAGGCTTTCTTCAGATTTGATAAGTGTGATCTACCATTTCTGGCAGAAGTCTTGAACATACCCGACATTTTCAAATGTCCTCAAAGATCAACATTACCCGGTATGGAAGGACTTTGTATTCTCCTTAATCGAATGTATAAACAAATTATAAACAAACTATAAAATGTAAGAACCAGTTAACAAGAAATGTGCTGCCAATTAACAAAACAACATGGTTGATATAGAGCAGTTTCTTGTATTGTTTTTATATAGTGTTTCTTTTTCTGAAGTTACTTTGTATTGTTTTTTTCCTTGATTAAATTTATTATCATTGTATTTTGCTGCATTAGCAAATTAAGTATGTCATCCTGCCTTTTCTTATCTGCCTCAAATTGCATTTTTTTCATCTCCAACTCCTGTTTTCTCATCTCCAATTCTACTTCATTTTTTTCTTTAAGGTAAGCAACAATGTCACCTCCTGATCGACGTCTTTTTCTTTGTGGTTCTTGGTCACCACTATCACTCTCCTTTTCCTTTCGTAGTTTGGCTTCTGACAACTTCTCCATCGCTTTCTTTCGTATATCTAGGGACTTTATTCTGTCCAGCTTATTCTTTTTCTCGTTTTCTTGATAACTCTGGAACCGCTCTTCATCAGAGGACAATTGTCTCTCTGATAGCTCTTCTAACAAAGTATCCAACTCTGTCGGTTCTGGTGATATTCCACTTGCACCCTTTTCCTCACGAGCTTTCTTTTTAAATTTTTCATGTAAACGGCTGTATCTGTCTCGTACAGCACGGGTTGAAACCTTAAATTTTGGTTTATCTATTTTTTCCAAGTTTGCAGCTACCTTCTCCCAATACTTTGCTCTGGCAGTTGTTTCTCGTTTTGCTTGAAAAGGGTCAACGGCTAGTATTTCGCGACATAACAAAACGTCGTGTTGTTTCGACCATTCCATAGGCGATTGAATCCTTTTGAAAATGTGCAAAAATATATTTAAAATTTGCACTTCAATACATGTGATTGTTAATTATAAGTATTTAACACAAATACTTTGAGCAAACATTTTTGTATAAACTCTGCACATCTATTTAATTTTGGCAGCCTAGTATGTTGTATTTATCGAAAAACAAATGAAACACTCACTCTAAACTTGCAGACGACATTTCTCCCATTGCTTCGTCTGTTAGCAAACACTTTATTAACAAAAACCTCAGAACGCAAGGCCTGGAGTCTTCGACCTGACAACGCGAACCTCTCGTCATGCGCAATAATAGGCAGGTTGTTGAATTACTTCCGGTTTGCGTCCGTGTTGTCGAAAACGTCGTTTGCTTAAGCTCTCTAATAAGGCAGTAATGCGAACGAACGAGAATCCAAGTTTCCCAGCACCTAAAGTGGTCAAAACACATATGCGAGGTTCAGTACTAAAATCTCTAACCAATTAATTCTGTCTAAAGTGAAAATTATTACGTAACTGTGACACATAAGAAACTTTGGTGAAGAAACCAATTTTACAACGCGAGAAATTGTCAAACTTTCGAATAATATATATTTCAATAATCATGTCATTAAAGACATTATTACATTGTAAATGAAATAAAAGCTAATACGTTTGTACGTTATCTAAAAAAATGTGTTTGGCGTTGCGCAGTCGTTCAAGGCGTACTGGCCCTAACATTGAAAACAGGCTACTTCTTGAGCAAGCACATGACAGCGCTTTGGAAGTGCGTTTGGACAGCGGTTTCACACTTATAAAGCGAGTTTGGACCGTAAATGCTAAAACACCAAACTTCATACAAGAGTACAAAGATGTTTTTGGAGAACTTGGATGCCTAAAGGGTGAACATCACATTAGCATTGACCCCAATGTAACGCCAGTAGTTCATCCACCTCGAAAAATTCCAATATCACTTATGGAACGTCTCAAAGCTGAGTTAAAACGCATGTGCAAGCTTGATGTCATAGAGAAAGTTGACGAACCAACCGATTGGGTCAGCTCCATGGTAGTTGTAGAAAAGGACAATGGCCAGTTACGTATTTGTCTTGACCCTAAATATTTGAACACTGCTATAAAACGTCATCATTATCCTATGCCTACAGTGGACGAAGTCCTATCCAAACTGGGCGGCGCCACCATATTTACAAAGCTTGACGCATCCAGCGGTTACTGGCAAGTTAAAGTCGACGAAGCCAGCTCGAAACTACTTGCATTTAACACGCCATTTGGACGATATTGTTTTAAGCGCCTAGCATTCGGGATTCACAGTGCCGCTGAAGTGTTTCAGAAGAAAGTTGCAGAAATCATTGATGGTATACCGAATGCGGCAAACGACCAAGATGACATCATAGTCTTTGGTAGGAACAAAGAGCAGCACGACAAAGCACTAAAGGACATACTCGACAGAGTAAGAGAGTCTGGACTTAAACTGAATGAAAAGAAATGCCGCTTCGGGGTTTCCGAGACAACCTTCTTAGGACATGTAATCACTGCAGCAGGCATTAAGCCAGATCCTAGAAAAATAGAAGCAATAATCAACATGCCCATGCCTAGCAACAAAGTCGAAATTCAACGTTTTCTCGGTATGGTGACGTACCTCGGAAAGTTTTTACCGCGCCTATCTGATGAGACAGCGCCGCTAAGACAACTACTTGAAAAAGACGTCGTCTGGCATTTCGAAACGAAACACCGTCAAGCCATAGAAAATCTAAAACACCTCGTCACCAGCAGTCCAGTGTTAACCTACTTTAATCCAAAACATGCCATAAGGATCACAGCTGACGCCTCTAAATCAGGTCTTGGTGCAGTACTCGAGCAATTAGAAGAGAACACCTGGAAGCCCGTCGCATATGCTAGTAGAGCAATGACCCAAAGTGAGCAAAACTACGCACAAATAGAAAAAGAGACATTGGCAATTGTGTTTGCATGCGAGCGCTTCCACGAATACACCTACGGGAGACCAATCACGGTACGTTCAGACCACAAACCACTCAAAGCAATCTTTTCAAAACCACTATCCAGGGCTCCTCCGCGCTTGCAAAGACTACTGCTCAGGCTCCAGCAATATGAGCTAAGTGTTGACTACACACCAGGAACGGACATTCCCGTTGCAGATGCTCTTAGCAGAGCATACCTGGAAAGTAAACCCACACCAGAGATATCGGAGCAAGACATGAACTGTCATGTGCACTCAGCTCTGCACAACCTGCCAGTATCAGATTCCAAGCTACTAGAATTTAAACTCGAGACTGCTAAGGATCCTATTCTTCAAGAGCTGTAAAACATAATTGTCAATGGTCTTCCATACAACAAACAACTCATCCCTGATGCTGTCAAGCCATACCTGACATTCATCGACGAAATATCAGAAGCTGAAGGAATCCTCCTTAGATCAAACCGCATCATAGTACCCTCCTCAATGAGACGTGAGATGAAAGCAAGAATTCCCGAGGGACACTTAGGAATTGAAAGATGCAAAACAAGAGCAAGAGAAGTGATCTTTTGGCCAGGGATGGCTACAGAAATATCTGAGATGATTTCCCGCTGTGAAACATGCCTAGAATCAAGAAAACGACAGCAACGCGAACCACTTATGCCACTACCACCAGCTCATCATGCCTGGAGCAGAGTAGCATGTGACTTATTCTACATGAATGGCAAGGACTATTTACTAATTGTCGACTACCATACTAGTTTTCCAGAAGTAAGTCTACTTTCAGAAACTACCTCTGCCGGAATAATCAAGCACACAAAGTCAATATTTGCAAGACACGGTATACCAGACACAGTAGTCACAGACAATGGACCACAATTCGCTTCGAAGGAATACCGAGACTTCGCCAAGCAATGGGAATTTCAACACGTCACCTCAAGTCCTGTTCATCCGAGGTCCAATGGCAAAGTCGAGCGCACAGTACAAACAGTCAAGACCCTCTTGAAAAAAGCCATTAAGTCTGGTGATGACCCATACCTAGCCCTACTTAACTTCAGAGCCTGCACAAGCCCTGACGGTACTCCAGCTCCAGCAGCCATGTTAATGAATAGGAAACTAAAGACTCGCCTACCCTCAATAGAGACCCAAGAAATCTCCAAGAAATCTATAATACAGAAACAGTACTACGATAAGCATACAAAAACTTTCCCTGAGATTTCAGATGGTTCAAATGTTCGTCTTCACGATGGCAAAGGCTGGAGAATAAAAGGACAGGTGATTCGGAAGGCAGAGACACCAAGATCATATATCGTTCAAACTGACACCGGAGGCCAATTGCGAAGGAACAGGCATGATATATTAGTCACTCCTGAACCTGCTGAGAATTCCCAACCAGAAGAAGTTGAAGAGCCTCATGTGCACCATAGTGAGCCTGAGGACACAAGAACAAGCGATGATGAACATACTACTCCACCCAGCTACGCTTATGTGACCCGCTATGGCAGGACTGTAAAACCACCAACCAGATTCGGCCAAGATACCTAAGTTACTTATAGAACATTGTCACTTAGCTAATCCAACATATAGATTACAATCTTGTTACAGTTAAGTGTTAGATTAATCTCAGAAGGGAAGATGTCATGAGTTATTGATTAATTTGTAATTTGAGTAGTCTGAATTCAGTCTAATAAAGAGACGAAGCACAATCATTACACATTTGTATTGCTCTTCCTTTTTTGAAAAAGAGCCGAAACAGGGCCAAACCGAGGTTTTCTCAGATAAAATTTGCACTGCCCACATGAATCACATCCCAACCAGTCTTCACCATCATCTATCTGGCAAATCTTGCATACTAAACTTATTTTCACAGCCGTTCATGATTTGATTCCACTAAAATGATTTGCGAACGAAAACCTGTTGTTCAACACAGAGTTTTACAAAGAATGTTATATTTACTATACATTATAATGACGTCATTCTCGATGTTCACGTGAATAAATAATATATTGTTTATATTCAACTCAACTGCAAAAAATTTTTTGAAAATATTTACTAAATTTACATAATCATCCACGAAATTTGTTATCACTCGCACACATACTTTACTCGTAATTTATAAAATGTTTTAATGTTTGATATTTTTATGTAGTTTCAAGCTATTAAGATGTGTGAATGTTTTACCACAATGTTCACATTGATAAGGTTTTCTCCAGTATGAATTCTAACGTGTTGAGTCAAGTGATGAAGATGTGTAAATGTTTTACCACAATTTTCACATTGATAAGGTTTTTCTCCAGTATGAATTCTAACGTGTTGATTCAAGGAACCAAGCACTGTAAATGTTTTACCACAATGTTTACATTGATAAGGTTTTTCTCCAGTATGAATTCTAACGTGTTGATTCAAGGAACCAAGCACTGTAAATGTTTTACCACAATGTTCACATTTATAAGGTTTTTCTCCAGTATGAATTCTAACGTGTTGATTCAAGGAACCAAGCACTGTAAATGTTTTACCACAATTTTCACATTGATAAGGTTTTTCTCCAGTATGAATTCTAACGTGTCTATTCATGTCACCAAGCTGTGTAAATGTTTTACCACAATGTTCACATTGATAAGGTTTTTCTCCAGTATGAATTCTAACGTGTTGATTCAAGTGAGAGAGCCTTGTAAATGTTTTACCACAATGTTCACATTGATAACGTCTCAATCCGCCATGTTTCTCTCCAGCATAATTTTCTTCAACTGTCTGCGATAATTTCAAAACACAGTTCCCACTATTGCTTCGACGTTTATCATTGCCAACTGAAGAATAATTCGTTTCCTTACACGACAATTTGTCTTGTAACAGTGGATTTTTTCTGCATTCATTTTTTATATGAACATTTAGGTAGTCCTCGCTACTGTACTTTCGACTACAATGTGGACATTCCCATAGCTTTGTACAAACAAGCAGTGGACATCTTTTTAAATGTTTCTCTAAGAAATTAAGATAAGTAAACATCCTTCCACAATGTCTGCAGCTGTGACCTCCAACTATAAAAGAATATTTAGATATCATAAGATCACTATATAAAAAATTAAATTATCATACAACACCAGGTAACTAACCATCAAAATGTTTCTCGTCGTCTTCCTCGTCAAACAATGATACTCCCAGTTGTTCAGCAAATTCATCTCCATACCAAACAAGCAGCTCTTTATCTGCCTCAATCTCTTTATAAACTCGGTAGTAAATTTCACCATGATGTTGATATGCAATTATATTTTGTTCATCTTCACATCGTGCACAATTCACAAATCTCATCCAGTTGCCTTGAGTTGAATCTTTACCATCAATATAATATCGAATCTTTCCTTCTTGTAGAATCTATAAACACCAACAGGTAAACAGTAGTGCCAAAGCCGTACATTCCTTAGCTGGATGGTGCTAATGGAACAAGCAGAAAGTATTTTAATAAAAAAAAAAAAAATACAGACGATATGTTTACCTCCCACATGTACGAAGTATCTCTTCCTTCCTCTAAATCATCAAGCAAAACTTTCTCTCCTCTGTATGGTCCAAAACAAGTGTTGATCTCTAACTTTTTATTTGCAAACACACCCATGCCTGCTTCAGGTATGGTAGAAGGTATTACGTAAAGATCTTCAGGAAGTGTCTTCAAAGCATTTGATGTTCCCTTTCTTGATCTCATTGTGCTATCTTCAATGATGTGAAAATTGTGCGATGGACATTCGCCATAGTAAAAATCATTGCACTGCTCACAATCTATAACGAAAAGATGAAATCACAATGATGAACTTATGTTTATAAAGTGAACTTTAAAAAAACGTTGAGAGTCGACGTGAATATGTAAAATACGTACAAATATAATGATCATCGTCAGGTACTTCTTCTTCAGTATAGTTCTTTCTTGATGAGTTTCTCGAAGATCGTCTTGAAGGTATATTTTTTAGATATTTACATTTATGTTTGATTGATTTTCTTTTAATATTACATTTAGCTTTTTCATCATTATTTTTAACCATTGAATTGTCATCAACAGATGAATTAAAATCATTATTTGATGAGGTTGAAGGAGCACAATATTTTTTCGAAGAAGCCTGCAAAAATTTGTAAGTAAAATTTAATAAGAAAATACGCATGTATAGTCAATCATTTCTTTTCATCTTTTTTTTTACGACATAGCTACCTGTTTATTTGAAGATTTCTTGGTGACGGAACTGCTTCTAAATGTTGATTTAAAGACTGAAAACAAAACAAATTCATATTTAAAAAGTGCTTTTCACTGACAAAATATAGATTAGCAAATTGTCTTTAAGCTAACTCACTTGGCTTGACTTTCTTTAGCAAAAAATTTTCATCTTTTCCAGGTAACCATTCTTCATCACTGCTACTGTCTTCGTCAATTTTTCTCTTCTTTGTTCGTTGCTTCGGAAGATATGCAGACCTGTCCACTTCAATGCCTTTATAAACGCAAAAATATACCAACATAAACACATTGGGCTTCACGAATGAAGGCTAAAATGCACTTGCCCAAATTCTCGAGGAAATCAAGGTTTTGTTTGATTTTAGCAAGTCTTTGGAGTTCATAATCACTGAGCTCTTCTTTTTCTGTCATCGACATTCTTTACAAAACCAATGCACAACAACAACAAACAATTTTTAAACGTAGGAAATGCATTTTCCCCAACTGTACATAAAGTCGATACTCAAATTGAAATAGATACCTGGCAGAGTTAGCAAACAATCCAGACACACTTGTGAATACAATCTTATTAGATAAGATAACGTTGTTTAATTTCTTTAACTTTTAAAAGGTTTAAAACTGGAAGTGAATACGTTTAAAATAACTTAACAATGCTTTAACAACAAGACGACAAGAAAAATATTTCAAGTTTTCGCGGGAAAATGACGCATACGTAGTAGGCTCGTGAAGTCATAGCAATATTCCGTAATATGATCGGAACCTTTTTGATGGAAACTTTTCATGCAAAAGCCTATAGTTCACGATTTTTAATGCAAAAGGCTATAGTTCAAGCATTTTAATAAAAAAGACTATAGATCACGGTTTTTCATTCAAAAGACTATGGTTCACGATTTTTCATGCAAAAGACTATATTTCACGAATTTTCATGCAAAAGACTATAGTTCACGAATTTTCAGGCAAAAGACTTTACTTCACGAATTTTCATACAAAAGATTATAGTTCAAAAAGGTTGCATCTTTAAAAAGTTGACCATTAAACTTAAAGTCTCGAGTCTAAGTTTTACGTAGAAATGAATTATGAAATACAATACATTCAAAACATTCTCAGAGGTAAATATTTTTTCGTATGTCATATGAGTAAAATACAAAAAATATTACATTAACCGAATATTGAATAAAATGCATCAGTTACTCTTTTTCATTTTTCATGAAAAGTGGAAGCACATAGTGAGCGATAATCCTGGGCGGAGTCTGGAAACGATGGCGAAAGACGGTTGAAGACATTATGGTAAGATTCAAAATTCTATTATCTTTCAAATGAAAAATCCCATTAAAAATTATATGAAAAGTTTTCCGTAACAGTTCATTTTATTGTGTAGCATGGAAAAACCAAAACTGACTGGGAAAGAAAATATATTTGACGGAATTATTTGCTCGCCAATTTTGTCAAGTGGCAGTTCACACGACGAGAGTAATCCATGAGTCAATTCCAAGCGTTACCATCCCCCCCGGGATACCCCTGGGCATTTGCCCTGGAGACCTTTCTCGGGGGTCGGGAATTTGCTCGTAAAAGAGATGCTCGGGAGCCGGGTATTTACTCCGGCAATAATACCCCAGGGGATTTGATACCATTTGTGTACGCGAGTCGCGACTATTGATTTCTATTAATCGCGACATTAAGTACCGATTGTTTTTTAGTTTCCATTGTTTTCTTTGTCGTTAGTTTCAAGTTCTTTGTCGTAGTTTCAAGTTCAATGGGTTTCACCTCTTATTTATGCAATCACATGTCTCATAAACGCAGTAAGCTGAGTAAATCAACGATTGATGAGCAGCTGCTGTCTGCAATAAGCAATGTCAATGCTATTACAAATCAAGGTGTTCGAAGTAGAAGTAAAACTATTGAGAAGAAAAATGCCAGTAGAGATATAGTTCTTCAAAGAAACGAAGATGGCGAACGAATTATTCATAAGCCGAGGCAAAGCACTTCGAGCAATGGAAATACCCAAAGAGGTGTGTGCTGGGGAAATAATACTTTTATCAAAGAAATAGAAGCATTTTAGATTTTTGTGTAACTTGTATGTTACATTTTTATGTTACTTGTTGTTATTACTATCATAGATGAGGAAATGCCTACAACATCGTCAGATTTACATGATGTTCCACAGGAAATGTTATGTGAGGACAGTGTTACTGAAAGAGGTTATTGATAATACTTCTTACATCTCAACTTTACATAACAGAAGCAAAACTTTAGTGCTGTCCAGGCCACTGCATCTATACATAGTTTTTTATATTTTTATACACATGTGACTGTGCTTTTAACACTTCAATGTACTCTTTTTATAATTGTGTCATATTTTAGAAAAAAAATAGAAAAGGAAACAGCTTTATGTCATAAAATTATTTCATTTTCATTTTAGATCTTGAAGCCATTCTTGAAAGCTGTCAGTTGGTTATTAGAGAAGTGGATACTGGGCCATCTGCTTTGCAAAAAAGAATGGAAAATCGAGAAGAAAATTGGGAAAAACGAGGAAAAAATATTCAATGTCACTGTGTCATCATTTGCTCCTCCTTTATCTGCTATGAAGTGTTGTAGATGCAATGAAAATGAAGCTGTACTGAGATGCAGACAATGTGGTGTGTTGAGATATATTTGTCAAGAATGCGATGATGTCCATAAGAATAATCCTCTCTATGATCGAGAAGTGTGGTTGGATGGTTATTTTCAATATATCAAGCCAACACAATCCATTTCATCTGATGGAAAGATTTGCAGCATTGGTAAGTATAATGTACATACTTATGAATTTTATTTATATATTTGGTTTTTTTTTGTTGTGCCCGATGTGAGAGAAATGTTTTTCTGTGATGATGCTATTATCTTTGTAGATCGATCATGTCCCATCCTTTACCCATCATCATGTCAGTTGTGTAATGAATCTATCATCAAAACTACCAACAGCTCTCTTGTGATTATGTTCAATGTGAAGGTGAAAATGTCCTTATGCAATTTTTTTACAGAGTCCAAATAACAATTTTTGATATATGGATGTACATATGATGCATCTTATTAAAATCAGATTTGTTAGGGGCTCATTATCTTAGTCACATTTAGAAAAGTACATAGGCAGCAGGTTGGATTATACACTAATTCATAGACTTTAGATTGAAACTAAAAACTTCAAATCATTGATGAAGTTGCTGGCTTCTTATGAAACCCCAGGATTTGATTTCTTTGAAGCACATATTTTCAGCACTGTACTGGTTATTCTTGATTATATTTTGTCTTCAACAGGACGATTTGATCTTAATTGGTTCACTGTACATTTGCTCTTCATTTGGAAGTGGTCACCAATTTCTGTTGACAGTATAATTGAGAGTGGCTGGTGGCCTGGTAGCCCTGAAAATTTTCATTACATATTTAGTCAAGATGTCTTTAATTTGTGGGATGCATTTAGAAAGAGGATGCCTGGGTCATCACAATCTGCTTTTGTAAGAAGTTTGGAAGATATTTCCAGCTCTAGAGGAAGGGTGATTATTTTTTATGCTATCTACATATCTTTGTTAGTGTGCTTTTTACTTTGTGTATATTTTTTGTCTTGCAAACCAAAAGCTACAAGACGTAAATCTTGATTTCAAAATAATCCTTTATGATCATTTCTTTCTGTGAATTTTGGTAAATTCTGGGAAGTCAAGGAAAATTTGTTTAAAATTTGTAACAAGCACATGTCAATTTTTGTAGGCTTCATATAATGTGTATGTTTGAAGTATGAGAACTATATTATAGTACAGGGGTTTTGCATAATCAACAAATAGTATATAATTGTGCTATGTTTTGATTTGGAACTGGTTTCACTAGGAAATTGTTATCAATCATTTGCTGAATGGAGCTATTGCCAACATGAAATTGACCTTCTTCATGAGCAGACATGGAAAAATTGCCCTCCTTGTAGTATTGATCAACATTCATGTCATGTTGATGGAAATCAAAAAGTGTACAGATTCAGCAAAGTACCAAGGTTTGTGATATTGGATGGCGAATTCTCAAACTTGCAAAAATGGAACTACCCTTTGTAAACAATTCAGATACTTTTATGTTTTAATAAATTGAACCAATTTTAACAAATCCAAGAAAAATACCTACTGCTCATGTTTGATTCTTTACCTGAATCGTTGGGCTTATGAGTGCTTGTGTTCTAAATTGATATTTATTTTTACCACAGGGGTCCAGTCCAGTGTTATTATCGTGATGTATTGATTGCAAACAATAGTTTTGTGGACTCTCATTTAAAAAGTCTTGGTTCAAAGTCAATTCAGGTAATGTGTTATGAAGTAGGATTGAAAGGTAGTAATCTATTATTAGGTTAAAGCATTTTTTATAGAATGAAGATAATTCTTGTGGTGACACCCATTGGAAAGCTCGAAAATGGTCTCCAAATCAAAGAAAAACCAAGACGAGACTGGACTTGAAGTTGCTGGATGCAGGCACTCGATTGCTCAAGCTACTTTGAACATGTTCAGAGGAGAAATTTATGGCTATGCTCACTACTTGCATTTGAATTTTACAACCACATAAAGTTAAATATGTGGGAAGATATTATATGCAAATATTGGCCTTGGGCTCTACGTGTTACATCGGAAGAAAATCAAAATGCGCTAAGAAATATTGCACCAGCACTGTCTATAATGCATGGGAAATCACACAGTTGAAGTACGTTAGATACGTAGGTTATGATTGTTTACCCAATAACTCGTAAGCTAAATACCACATACGCCGACGATAATGCTCTATTAAAGATGTTATGAGACAAAGCGTGCTTTTTCAAACTGTAATAATACTGTATTTCACGTAACTAAACCCTGGTTACATAAATCTTAAATGGGTTGTCTTGAATAGATGATTCTTTTCACACTTTTTAGGTTATTTGGAGCGGAAGATGGCAAAGTGGTGCGGCAGCAACTGCTGGCGAAGAAGTTGAGCAAATAAATTCGTATTTGTCAAGACTTGGCTCGACTACTAAAAATATGACGGCCTCCGGTGAGTATTATTTTCTTATCTGTATATCCACTCAGGTATTTTGGTCGATTAAGTCCACGAACTAATGTGCACATTAATGGTTGTACGTATTAAGGACGAGAAGAATGCATTACTGAACACCTTCTGAGTTGGAACAAGCGAAAAATTTTAAACTTGGCAAAATCACTTGTTATTCGAATGAAAAAGGTTACACGTTGTATATATCTTCAGTTAATTGTCAAAATTATATAATAAATATGAAATGAATAATATGAAATAATATGAAATAATATAATATAAAAATATAATATAATATAATATAAAATATAATATAATATAATATATATATAATATGAAATGAATTTACAGTTCATAGTTGTGTATAGGTCTTGTTTGAACCCAATACGTTTACTGCGCTAATATGATTATTTTTCACTGTTTTTCATTATGTGTACTTGTATTTCGAAGACCGAAAGGAAACTTTCATCTGCCAGGGACGATTTTGTAAAGTTAAGAAGCGAACTTAATGTCCAGGATTCTGACTTGGACGACTCGATAATGCAGTGGAAAGAAGAAGTTCAACAATTTGCGAGAGATATACCTCTGTTATAACATTGTTTACTTTCAAATATTTTTAGAAACATGGTTTAGTATTGAACAGTTCTGTACTTATGGTTGATTTTTGTTCAAACATCATTTAAAACGAAACTATATGAAATAATTCTTGGCCTGGCTCAAATTTTTATGTTTGGCAATTGTTATTTTTAACAATTCATTTTACCCCCGGAAAATATATAGCTATACAGTATTGTATGGAGTGCTTAGTAATTACGTAGATAAATTAATATTTTTTATTGTTTCTCTAGAACAACAAATTGAAGTTTCTTCGTTGAAAGGTGCCGCCGAAGAGTTCTTCCTTTTGCATCAAACTGTTGAAAATGCTCAACATTTGGAGAATTTTGTAAGAGCCAACGATGATCAAACGCAGACATTGGGTGATAGGCTTTTCGTTCATGACGCTCAAAACAAAGTGAAACAACATGAACGAAATGCAACAAGATTGCTGGAATTGAAAAGACAGCTTTTAGATGGACATGTGACAGAGGAGCAGCTTCTTGAGCAAGGAAAGTCGCAGCTGGCAAAAATCACAGTAGCAAAGCTGCAGAAGAGATTAGAAATGTTGTATTTTTCAGTCACTAGACGCACAAAAGAAATAACTTCTCTTGCTGGTGAGTTTTGTTGGGGTTTTTTATGAGTAACTGTAAGCATTATTTTAAAGGTCGTAGCAAAATCTAAGTGAGTTAGATTTTAGATGTAGGCGACACAAAATGCTAAATATGGAACAGTTTTATTCGAGATAAATTGTGCTTTATCTAAAAGTAAACGGGTAAATACCATCTACACCATCCTCGTCGAAATATGGGCCACCCTACACTTATTTTGTGCCGAATTATTTCAAAGCATTTTGCCAAATTACTGTAAAATTGCGATTTGTCGTTGTTACGTATATTATACATGTACGTATATTAGATTCTAGCAAACGAAGATCTTCGATGAGAAGGAAATGCGCTAAAGAGAAGTCCGAAATAACATCTACCGTAGAAAAGTTAAATTGCCTCTCAAGTCTGTGTGGTCTTCCTACGACAAGTGCGGAAGAAGTCATGTCTGGAGATTTTGTTTGGTCGTTTAACCAGTGTAACATAGATAGTACGACTTCACATGGTGTGTAAAAGAAAATCAAATATAGTTCTATGTATATTGTGACGTCCATGCTCGCTTTTAGTTTCAACTATTTTACTTAACAATATTTAGATATACCTGTGCGTTTCAAGGCACAAATTGTCGATAAGTACATGTTAGTTAAAAGATTGGAAGAGGAAAAAGCACTTCTGAACATGGAGATGAAAAATTATGTGATTTATTATTTGGAAAACGTTTTGCCTCTCCTTTGTGAAAGAAAAGAGAAGAAAGATAGATAGGTATACAGATAAATGTTCGTATTATGTTAAAACAAGCTTAAAGGTTGCGTATTTATATACTGTGGAATGTAATGTACATGCGTTTAACATATTTTGCAATTATTTTTTTAGTATTTACAAATAATGTTGATGAATCTGATGACTATTCTTTCCTTGAGGTCAGATAAGTAGTGAATATGACACCAATCTTTTAAAATACGAGCATACTTATTGACATGATTACGTTTGTTTTATAGAGCTTTCTTCTAGATGAATATAAACATCGCTATTGTGTGCGAAAAGACACAATGAAGACTCTGCATGGTCGTCTCGCCATCACAAACTGCGGAATTGCATTTGCCAGAGTGCAGTTGAAAAAAGGTTTTCAATACTTTCACGACTTAGAACAGTCCATAGTCAACGTATACGGTAGTGACAGTGAATCAGACTGTAGCGATGAAGATGACGTTTATGAAGATGTTGAAGAAGAAGATGCATATTGAACCAGTATACCAGCTAGTGGCTGGTAGCCATTCATAGCTTTTTTGGTTATGTGAGTGAGAATGAGCGACTGTTAAATCAATAAATAAATCACAGAAGAATCAGAAATCTAAGAAGATAAAACGCAATTTAGTTGTTTGTGCAAAAGGGCATTTTGTAGATCAATTTTGTTGCAAATTGCCGTTTTCGAACAACTACAAATTGTCTTTTCCTTGATATTTATATTTTGAGTTATGTGATACATTTATTGAAAGAGCAACATGCTCATTTTCATTTATAAAAGTGCATAAAATAATGATGGCACAGCTTTCAGCAACAAAATACTACGATTATATGCATCTTCTTCTTCAACATCTTCATAAACGTCATCTTCATGAACGTCATCTTCATCGCTACAGTCTGATTCACTGTCACTACCGTATTCGTTGACTATGGACTGTTCTAAGTCGTGAAAGTATTGAAAACCTTTTTTCAACTGCACTCTGGCAAATGCAATTCCGCAGTTTGTGATGGCGAGACGACCATGCAGAGTCTTCATTGTGTCTTTTCGCACACAATAGCGATGTTTATATTTATCTAGAGAAAGCTCTATAAAACAAACGTAATCATGTCAATAAGTATGTTCGTATTTTAAAAGATTGGTGTCATATTCACTTATCTGACCTCAAGGAAAGAATAGTCATCAGATTCATCAACATTTGTAAATACTAAAAAAATAATTGCAAAATATGTTAAACGCATGTACATTACATTCCACAGTATATAAATACGCAACCTTTAAGCTTGTTTTAACATAATACGAACATTTATCTATACCTATTCTATCTTTAATCTCTCTTTCTTCACAAAGGAGAGGCAAACGTTTTCCAAACAATAATAAATCATATAATTTTTCATCTCCATGTTCAGAAGTGCTTTTTCCTCTTCCAATCTTTTAACTAACATGTACTTATCGACAATTTGTGCCTTGAAACGCACAGGTATATCTAAATATTGTTAAGTAAAATAGTTGAAACTAAAAGCGAGCATGGACGTCACAATATACATAGAACTATATTTGATTTTCTTTACACCATGTGAAGTCGTACTATCTATGTTACACTGGTTAAACGACCAAACAAAATCTCCAGACATGACTTTTCCGCACTTGTCGTAGGAAGACCAATAGACTTGAGAGGCAAT